ATAACACTTTTGAAGGACCTGGAGGCGGAATTATACTTTTTTTAAGAGCGCTGGTGTTTACATACCTGGACGTTGATGCGTCAGCCCAGGCCCGGTAGCACTCCTACTTATAGCGTGATGCAATTTTACAGGAGTGACCAAACCGTGGCTGAGTTCTGCCTCCGATAGGCACCACAGATGATGGAATAAATAATTCCATCCCCTGAAGTACCAAATCAGCGACAGAATCAACAACAACGTAGGGATCATCCGGCGAGAAGCAAACCTGACCCCAAGGGTAGGATGCAAAAAAAAGACTGCATCCCGTCCCAATCGGCCGCCCTATAGTGCCAAACACGGCGGCAAGCTGCAGATCGCAACTGCGATGGTAGCGTGAGTGGCACCGTAGTCCGGATCAGACAATGGTCCGAAGAGCCAAGAGGGATATCGACGGAGGCTTGATATTCGTCCAGATGAGAGGTCAGCAGAAGGTCCAACAAGGGAGGTTCATGATCCTCCACATCTGGGATCCGCGTGGGTGAAGTAACCAGTTGTGTCAGACCATATGCCAAGGCAAAGTCATAAACATATCTACCCGCATGATCGGTTAAACGGGAACCAAGCCAATCAGCGTGGTAGGCATTAAAATCACCAAGCATCATGATCTCTGCGGATGGGACCTGTTGTAGCATGGAGTCTGCAGCCATTTGGACGTGGTCAATGAGTCGGTCTGTGTCAGTGTTACCGCTATGGGACCTATAGAGGCACCCGTAGACGCGGGGATGGTCGTCGCTGTCTACTTGCAGCCATAGTATGGACAGGTTCATACCTTCAAGACCGCCGAGGGGTCGAGAACAGATGTCCTCTCTGACGTACACGCAAACTCCAGCCCGGGGCACAATGGAGTGTTCTAATTTGTAAATTAGGAGAGATACGAAGTATCAGCCGGAGAGGACACTTGTGTCTCGGTTAGAAAGATCAAGGCCTGCTTTGCCGTCTCCAGATGGTAGTGGACGGCATTAAGGTTTGAATGAAGTCTCCTGATATTGCAAAAATTTACGGGAAACGTGGCAGGGGTTACCTCTGTTTTATTGCTCCGCTTGCCCCAAGCAGGTTTCGTCTTGAGCGGAATTGCGCCGCCCCCAGACTACGCGGGGCAGCCTGACGCTCAGAAAAAGTAGGGTAGCTTAGGCGTGGATGCTTAGCGAGGGATTCTCCAGGGATACTGGTACCCTCCTGGGGTAGTCTACCATTTCTTCTCGACTAATTTTATGTATGAAAGTCTGCAATTGTTCGGTAGTAAAAGAAAACGTCGTGAGGAAACTCACTAGTCTGAAAAGTTAAAAAAAATTGAAGATGTGTGAAGGTCAAGCCCCAAAACCCTCAATATTAAAGAATGCTTCTGTCCAGCATATAAAAGTACATATAGCCAGCGTATATAAGGGCATATGTAAATTAGTTATATTATTTATTATACGCCAATTTTACAAAAGGAACATCTTAAATAATCATTAACAATAACATAACAATAGGGACAGTCATATAGCTCGAAGAACTCACAACCGATGTTGAAGAAATGTTCATGAGTATAAAATCAATCAAATAGCAGCATCAAACATGTAAGCGAAGTATAAGGCGGCTCCCCGCTACATGTAATGAGGAGGTTGATAGATGCAAGTAGCTTAGGATAGTGTTTTGTGGCATTTCTTGAAGGAAGCCTATGTTCAGCAGTGGACTTGTTATTGGCTGTAATGATGATGAACAATCAGGTAATATGTAACGTAATCGAATGTCCTTCAGATTATATTCCTCTCTTGAATTCTACGTATCAGTAAAACCTATTTCTTGCTAAGAAGTATATTATTTAGAATCTAGAGTAGGAGATAGTTGATTTACCTCTCGTCGGCATTTGTCTGAGGCGCTACGAAATAGCGGTAGTCCCATAATAATCCTAAAACCATAATCATATATTTTTCTACAAATTGATAGTATATTAACTTTGACAGCAACCTCCCAAAAGCTTTTACCTCAACCATCGAAGGTTACAAAAAGTATTTCAGGCTTTAGACAACTGGGTATCACAATGAAGGCTGGGATTTTGTCATATAAATACATTCAGAAAAACACTTTAGAATTGAAAATGAATGAGCTCGGAAAACAATTTTTTTAAATGCAGCTCGTTGAATAGATACGCTACAAATAGAATTGAAAGTGCATTAAAGAAATTAAAAACCAAATGCTGTCTGCATGAATCAAAGTTTATTTAAAAAGGAAATCACTGAGCGACCTGTCACTCTTTTCACTTGTATTCTTGTATTAAAATAAAAACAGGAATTAAAACAAAACACAATAACTCTGTTTGTATGGTACAAACTTTTTCAATTTAAATGAACATTTCTTTTTAACCAAACACGTAAAAACAACCCTCTTGCGGATCAAAAATGTATAAAACATTCGTCTCGATTTTATACAGACGGGAGTCGTGGTAGCTCAGATGTTTAGCGCTCGCTGTAAGTTTCACAGTACGTGAGCAACCCGGGTTCGATCCCTGTCGGCACCAATGAAATTGTTTGTTGCATTTTAAGTGCTGATTTACCACGTGCTCGGCGGTGAAGGAAAACATCGTGAGGATACCTGCACGTCTGAGAAATAAGAAACAAAATATTTAAAAGACATGTGAAGTTCGCCAACAGGCATTGGGACAGCACGGCGGACTTATCCTTGCCCTAAAACCCTCTCAGCAATGAGAAGAGGCCTGTGCCCAGCAGTGGGACGTAAATAGGCTGCAACTTTTTTTTTTGAATTAATACATACACTTTCTTCGTAAATTTGTATCAAACATTCTGATTCTATCACGAATTATTACAAAGATACTACTGATTTTATTACGGAGTATTATAACTTCGTACTGCTCATTGCATTTAGATATAATTTACAGTTATTGACATGTTAAAGACAAATCTATCTATATTGAACTGTGTACTGGAAGACATCTTTGCAAATTGTCCACATGCATGCAATAAATAAGTTGTTGATTTGCACGCAAGGTCATGAATTAAATCATTTTATAAGGATTAGGTCTTATGTAATAAATCAGGATTAGGTTTTATGTAATTTATTCGGTGCTTACCATCTTATAAGAATCATTAGCTCAGGGCCAGGAGCTCAACACTTGAACCACCTGTAATCGATCCCCGTTGCCAGCATCTCTGAATTTTTACTGATATTATTATTCATATTTTGATATTTAATATAAAAATAAAATAAAAAGTTTACACCATTTCCATTTTGATCTAAGAAAAAAATAGTTACCACGTTTAGTATTCACCAGTGGAATTGCTTTTATTAATGTTGATTAGAATGGCCAAATATAAAATGTTTCTGAACACATATAAGTACTTTTATCCGTGAAGTAAATTCGGTATGAATTATAATTATAAACATAAAACTCCGTCAATTTCTTAAAATCTTCTTTATTATCAATTATTCTCATTACAAAAAAACATATTTTTTTTAAATAAAAATACGTTTCTTAGTCTCGGACTTATCGCTCAATGATGGATTTAGGGATGAATGGTAAGTTTCATAAGGACCTATGTAATTTTTATTGAGGCTCGTAAATTTAAAATCATAAATTTTTTTTTTGCACGATTATGAAAAACTGACTATTCTACGTTGACTGCTCTGTTGTTGTTCTGTTGTTGTTGACTGACGAAAAAGGCAAAACGACGAAAGGAAAAGAAGGCGAAACGACGCACAGGCAGTGTGTATGCTTACACGGAATATTTCAAGTCACTTTAGTAACCCCTATAGCTCAAAAGTGAAACCTGCACAGTTTTGCATGCCCTATACACTAGAATCCAAAATTTCATAAATACATTTAGTTCTTGAATTATGTTTTGAAATTACCATTTTTATCACTAACAGATTAACTCATCAAAAAGCTAGGCCATTTAGAATTTACTTAAAATTTGGAATCAAGTTCAAAACACAAAGGAAAAAATCTGAAAACTCCAATTTATCGTTATTAGGTGTTCAACAATTTTAAGTTTATGAACACCTAATAACGATAAGTTTAAGTTTGTTGAACAATCACGTTTGCCACATTTTGTAGCAACAGTAGAAATTAAAATAGACGTAATATACGTTTACGCAGAGAACAATTAAGCGTAAATTACGTAAGATTTTTTCTTACGTTACGAGGTAGGCCATGTGTTTATTTAGAATAATAAAATTATTATTAAAGTTGTGAGATCTGTATTGGCGGCAAGCTCCATATCAGTTCATTTATTTCGTTTCATTTAAATTATTTTTAATTCCCGACGTTTCGGGTGCTTTGCAGCAACCATGGTCACGGATGGTTCCAATATATCATATGATTTAAGCAACTGTGCTTGGCGTGCATCAAAAAATACAGTAATACATTCATTTGCATCCCAACTTTCTTTTATTGGCAAAGCCACTAACTCCAACGTTGTTTGTACCTACCGAACATGGCCTACTTTTCACATTTATGTTTTTGGTGGGATAACATTTTTTCAGTCACTTAAACAAAATATTAATACTCTATAAATATATCGTCAAAATATTGTCTTTTTTATTTCAATTTTAGATAAAATGGAGTTAATTGTATAATCCTGTTTTTATAAATGTTACCGTAATGTTAACCGTTTTTACTTTTGAAAACTTAAAACACACGACTTATTACAAGTCAAAAGCAAAAACGGTTTCTTCAGTGTTGCAAGAATTTAAAAAAAATAATAAAATATTATTATTGGATTTTTAATCTCATAGGACATCTTGATATTTTTTTACTTCGTTATTTATTACATGGAACGTAAGACTAAAACGACGTTTATCATTTTGGGTTAAGATATGAGAAAATAAGTCAAACCGTTCCATAGATAATAAAAAATACAAAAATTAGTGATGTCACTTCAAATGTATTAAAAATGGACTAAGTGGTTTCTTGATTTAGACCATTAACGGTAACGTTTGAAATTAAAGCTATTATTACTCACCTATGAAAAAGGTCATTATTCGGCACGCCGACGCCTTCATGTTTCCAACTGGAACAATCACAGGAGACGAGGGAAAACACTTCAGTGGACGTCAGAAAATCATCTAAGTGCACGACAGCTCCACATTTTTTTCGCCTAACGAGCACCGACTAGGAAATTTTCACAATGTTGCGTACACAATGCTTCGGAGCTCATTAAAAATTGTCCTTTCTTTTTGGTACAAATTCCGTAGTGGCTTGTGTTATTTAATCTAACGATAGTAATCTCAATGGATTCATTACGCGGAAACTTTTCTTATATACTCATCATCACGTGTCGTAATTTTTTAGCTCATGATACTTTGACTACAACCTCATCATTCGATTCACATGAGTAAGTAACTTTACGGCTTACACATTAGTGGTCATTAGAGCGGCCGGATATAGATGATTCCCGTACAAGATATCTTGAACAACTGTTGTCCATTTTTCTAAACGTAAATAGCGTTGGAGTTGATAGCAACAAGTTTGCGCAATTCGGTGTAAAAATTTGCTAAGACCAGTGTTTCTCAAACTATTTAATGGCGACCACTTTAAATTACTGTTTAAATAACTGGGACTCCTAACTTTTAACCTTTCTTATAAATTGTTGTTTAATTATAACCATTATTCAGTTATGAAAAAAATATATACGTACCTATATTGATATCTAATTTACATGTTAATTTTTTTTAAACAACTAGTGAATCTATTAAAATAACAAACCTTTAACGTTAGTATGTGGTATATGAAGCCTCACGGCAATATTCATGGTAAGTCGAAACGAGCATTTGGCCGTTGCCGTTTTAATATATTTGTAAACAGACGGAATTAATAATTATTGTGAAAAAAAAAAGATTGATGGAAGAGTGTTTCCGATATATTATTTCTTCTTTTCTTTATTCTTTATCAGCTCGTCAAAGACAACAGCTGGACATGTGCCTCCTCTATTGTGGGCAGGATTTGCCTGAATCGTAACGGTTGGCGGGCGGATTGACGATTAAAGTAGCAGACGTCTGCCACTTGACGCTGCTGCGCATCGCTGGTCTAGGTGTTTTACGTCCGGGGTAAAAGAGATGGTTATGCCGCCATATAAAGGAAACCATAAGCTTTTTGTGGCTGCAAGTGGCATATCTCACAGTCGCCTATTACAACACCCACGGGACTTAATGGGGTGATGAACTCTCATACGCCGCAACCACAGGGCAAACGTAAAATACCTAGACATCATTACGACATATTAGCTGCAGTAGATCGTCAATGTCGATAATCCAATCGTCGATCAACCCCCCCCCCCCTCTCCCCTCTCATAGTGCCCCGTGTTGGCCTTTCTTAGGACGTTGGCGACCAGCATCAGATATCTGTCCTGAAAAAAGTGCATGACTTGGGCGAGTAAAAAGGCAGGTTCGCTTCGACAGACCAAAATTAAGGACTTCTTTAGACGTTACTTTTATAGGCATACTATATGTTCAATATTAATATATTTTTTGTGTACTAAGCTATCTATTTCGTTTATATTGCTACTTACAACTGTAATAAACGAAATTTGTATTATATATAAAAAGTTTTTATTGGTATATTGGTACATAAAATTATACAGTTCGGTAATCCGAATAAACCGATTTTCCGAACACCCATGTCTCCCATATAGTTTGGATAATCGACGCTCTATTGTACTTGAATCTTCCACCCAGTAAAACTTCCTAGACTTTTTATATTAATTATAGCTTACGTCTACAAGAAATCTGATACATTAGTACATTAAGTTTATTTATAACTATTTTAAATATAAGAATCGAGAATCGTTAGGAGCCTATCTAACGTTTTTAGAAATGGTGGTCTTTTGAAAAAGTTTATGTCTTTAAAATAAATTACGTGTCACATTGTTTGTCCGCGATGAACTACTGACTTGATTTCAATGAAATTTTGCACACTATGTGCAGTTTTGTCCAACTTGAGAGATAGGATAGTTTTTAACCCGATAAGTGACCCTAAATTTTTTTTATTGCGAATTTAAGTATTTTTTTAAAGGACAAAGTGTCGTCGGAAAGGGCAGAACAACGTCTGCCTGGCCATAGCTAGTTATATATAAAAATCTCATCTCATCATTAATAATTTCGGCAATAAAGCAACAGTAACCTTTATTTTTTCGCCAGTCATCTTCTAGCGACTGCGAAACAATGACTACGGTTGCCACCCATACTTTATAATAAAGTAGGTATTGTACGTTATTTCGGGCAAACGTACTTTATACTTTATGAGACCAATAAAGTACGTAAAAATACTTTATTTTACCTATTTTACGATTTTCAGGGTTTTATTTTAATGTTTACTAAAAGACAATACAGACAAAATATTTTTCTTTGTAGTTATGATTTTGTAAATTTATATACAAAATTGTGTGTCATGTCTGCTATTCATTCCCGTCACTTCAACGTTATTTACAGAGTTTATTCTTTGATAAATGCTAGGTGATGGGATGAAAAGAACAGAGTATAATCTTAACTTAGACATAGAATGTAAAGATATTGTATAGATAAAATAACATGTCAAATAAATAATAATTTATTTTCACTGGTCGTACTTTATTTTTTTAGCTTAGAAAATAAAAGATTGCAACCCTAACAGTGACGCTCATAATATCTATTAGAATACAATCGAAACGAATTTATAGCGAATCGATTGCGTCATCGAAACGAAACGGATAATGGAACGTTTCGAAATTGTTTAAATAGTATTTACTGTGGACTTTTTAGCGTAAATACTAATGCTGTTCAGAGAACTAACCTTTCTAACGTGACCTTCGATAAAAATGTAACTGACTTTAGTAATACAATTCTACGTTAACAAAATTATTAGTACAAGACTGTCGTTGTGTTGTCATGTGTCCTTGTATTTTCATACAAGAAACCCTAATAATTTCGGTCTGTCTTATTTTTAAGTATGTATATGTATGATAAGTACTATATGATACTTAGGATATAGTATATTTTTATATAGAAGCCTGCAAAATAAAGTTCTTATTTTCATTTCATTTAAATTTATGAACATAATTCTCTTGGTATAGCCATTGCAATTTATTGCAGTAAAAAGTTTGAACAATCATATCATACTCATGTAAACCTTTTTTGGTTTTGGGTCCGCCTGCTTCACCTACAAATGGATAGACGGGGTACCCCTGTTTACGTGTACACCCAATTAAGTTAGTATGTTAAATTTGTCAAAAATACGAAAGTAAACTATCAACATCAATAAACTGAAAGTAAATTATCAGCGTTATTTATTTTATATAATACTAGCTGATAATAAATATATATATATACATACATAGATTATATACATACGACTGTAAGAAAACGAATTATATGAAAAGAGCAATGGCAGAAAAATAATTGACAAAAATCATAGCGTCTAGAAATAAGTTACATATATATAATGAGTTTTATTATTTTTCTATGATTTTTTCAAATAAAAATGTATTTTGAAATGAATACCAAAACTCTATTCAAATGTTGCCATTTAGTATATTCCTACTATTCTCGTATACACTTTGTAACACTACCAACACAACACACAAAATATTTTTATATTAAGTTATTATTAGTAATAACTGTACTATCAGTAATAACAAAAATAAAAGTAATATGGCTGAGAATAAGTCTCTTACAAAGAATTTCGCACAATAGTACATTATCTCAATCATAGTACTATGTAACAATTCCTTTTAATGTTATGCCAACACTAGCTAAAATAAAATGTCATTTTTTTTACTGACTTTACAGCTCTGGATTCTAACCCTTCTGAGAATGTCACTATGGTACAAAAGCCCTGGAGCAATGCCAGAAATATACATTTATAGTATGCAAATATATAATAGAGATACAATAATCTAAAAACTCTAAATTATGTATTATGTATTAAGCTAACATCAAACAACCACAGGAAGCATGACTTTTTCCAAGTGACATAGGACATAACCTAAAAAGGTTCAAATGTAAATATCTTTTTTTGACGCCTTCTCAGTACAAAATTCTTTGACAGAGTTATTAAGGGACTGACGCTTAACATTTTAAGATATTTTTGGTATATAGACGCTATCATTTCTGCTCAACTAATTTTATGTATGAAAGTCTGCCATTGCTCTTTGTTATTTGACGGTGAAAATTACTGAGGAAACTATAGGGGGGGGGGGGGTGCACTTGATCAAGATACAACTGAACAGCATCAGGTCGCTCGCGCAAATAATACGCGGCTGGCCCGAACTTTATCATGAGGCAGAGGTAGAAGCCACTTTCCCTCTCATACAAATGCACGCTACACGGCTTCCTCCAATTCTCCACGACAAGAAAACACATTACTGAACACGCAGTGCTTTTAAAAATCGTTGTTTCGTAAAACTTTAATAACTTTATATTAAATGAAGATATCGCAATATTTTTTTTTTTAGATAAGAGCCAAGTGCCTAAATAAAACTTAGAAACCTAACTGAAATCTATCCAGTAGTTTTCCGTGATGCGAGTACAACTGCAAACCTCTATCATTTTATTTGTATAGGTATAAACTTAGATTATTTATTCTCTTTATATAAATTAGGCACAAAGTGTAATACAATAGAAGCACGGGTAAGCAGGAATTACTACTGCAGCCAATAGTGGCTGAAGCCAGGGGATCATGAGGTAAAGTAATCCATTATTTACATATCAAAAACATATTAAGCAGTTGTATAATAAATCAGTAGCCTCGCCTTAAGTTTCATTGCGAGCAGTCCGAATAAGAGCACCATCGAAATTGTTAACATTAGCGGAGAATTGGTAACATTCTACGCGCGGTTTCACTAAGTTACTTGTAGTGCCCTGCTGTGGAATATCTCATAGGCGATCATTTTTTTTTTTCTTAATAGCAAGATAAATCACAAAGTTAAGCTGACTGTCTAAAATCCTACCTAGCCTACTCAGTGCATAAATAATTACTGCTAATTTATTTTTATACTAATTTATTAAAAATAATTTTTAAATTACAACTTTTGAAAAAGTGTACGCCAACGATGTTTAAATAAAACTAGTTTTTACGGATTTTATCGCGAATAATAAATTATTTTATATTCCCGATGTTTCGAGCACTTTATAGCACCCATGGTCACGGGGGGGGGGGGGGGGGGACTGAGCTGTTCGACGTCCCAATGTTAACCACGGCTACCGTTGCAGCTTAGAGGCTAGAGGCTACAGATAAAAAAATATTAATTTTGTTCCGATCTAAGCAGTATGAACTTATAGTATCTTGAAGTCTTGCAGTTGTATGGGTTAGGATTTAATTTTATTAATTGTAGGGTCCCAAGCAGAGAGTGCACCTTGTTCTCTATTGAAATTATGATAAAATAAGTTATAATACGCAATAATATCCGTTAAAACTAGTTTTATTTAAATATGTAGAGTTCGCGTAAATATAAGAAATTATTATGCCAACGATGTTGTTTATTATTCAGCGTGCCTGCATCACAAATATTAGAGATCGAGCAATGTGTGAAGAATGTGCCCATTGCGTCTGACTTTATATTTGAGTTTACTCGCATCTGAAGAGTGATATGTAACAAGAAATTGTGATCTCTGAATGTGTGAAATGAAATCTCTGTAGTTATATTCATACTGCAGAATAATAAATATGTTAGTTTGTAACTGTTATTTAATCTCTCATAATTAAGAAACTTAAAATCTAAATATACCTACTATTAATATGCTTATGTCTTACATCAAATGTATGAAAAAAGAAGAAAAAAATTACATAAACCTTTTTGTTCACTGATTATAAAAATTTAAAAATAACGTTGTGTAAAACACCATTTATATAAGTAGAACTTACTTTACAAATCATTAAACAGCAATTTATGAGCTGGTAGAACTCACACAATTTCTGCGACGAGGCAACCAACATTTAATTTAAACCTGGCTTAAGCCGTTGTAAATTGCTTTGCTCTTATTACACTCGATATTTAATCAACTATCTAGCACCCAGTTACTGAGGGCACCGCAGATATTAAAGTTAGGATAACCTAAGCTGAATTTGTCCCACAGTATCGTTTCATAGTCATCCAACCTAACCTACATAATTACTAAGGTACATAATGATGGGAATTCATTACTGTTTATCAATTTGCAACAAAAAATTAATTCCTTTCTTCCATCCTTGCTTTAATTATCAAACTACTCGACGTACGATTGAATTGAATGTATCTTTGCTACATGTTCCAAATGTTCAGGGATCGTATAAAGCCAAGAATTAAAATTCTTTAAAGACAACATTCTTCCGTGACTTACAACATGAGTCTATATACAAGATTGAATAGATTGAGTTGAATTAGGAACACACTCATAGAGAGCATGAGCATTAAATAGAGCATAAAATACTGCTGTGCTTCGAAGTCCGAAAGCTGGCGGTGTTTCACCCTCGTGCCTCGGAAAGTACACAAAGCCGGTTGGCCTTCTGACGCTCCGGTCATGTTGCATTGCCGTCCAATCAAACAACAAAAGTAGGGGATCGAAGAGTGCACCTGAGTCTGGACACATACACACTTTATAATTCTGTCCAGTGATAATACTATATCCTGAGCAGATGGCTATCGTCCTTGAAGCTAGCCGCTTTGATAGAAATTTGGCCTAAAGAACATCATTATTTAATAATGATGATGTTCTTTTCGATGCCTGTATCATAACGTCATCATAACGTCACATGGGAGAGTTGGTACCGGTACCGAGGAAAAAAAGTGTGAGACGCGGTTGGCGGTAGTGGAAGAGTGATCACCGCCAAACTGTTTACGTGAACAAAATTACTCCAAACTCATTTATTCCCGATGCCCACTTATTCCCGAATAGGATACGAGACAACGACAATACTAGGCCTAAAAACCAACAAATTATTTTAGCATAACTGTTGGCTCTTATAGCATAGTAGTCACATACTCTACCCACTGCACCACGTTGTCCTTTCAAACATTGACTTTACTATAGTCTTCTTCCCTCTCTCTCCCAATTAATATTAATATCAAGTAGCTAACCGCAGTTCTCTTTTGTTACAGGATAAATTGCTCAATAAACTGGAGGAAAATGAGCCTGAATTAGCTTCATCGCCCGAGGAAGAAGTAAGTTCTACGTCAAAGATAATAAAGTTCTTGTTTCAATACGAACACGCTGCTGCCAGATTAGCTGACTATTGTGGGTCCTAAGTCCATATCTCTACCGAATCTAATATGTGTGAGATGTGTGAAAGAAATAAGTTATTGGTGTTTGGATTCTGGTTTTATTATGATTAACTGTATCTCTGACAATGCTTCCAAGCGATTTCATTAAATGATAAATCCCGATTACACCGTTTACCACCACGCTTGAAAGGCCAATTGTCATATGTCATTTTTAAATGTGGTAGAGCCATGCTGCGGCTATATTAATTGTATAGCATGAATGGTTCGGCTCGATCGGGGAAGGACCATGCTCTCACAGAATACCAGCGTAAAATAGCAGCTTAATGTTGTGTTTCGTATGGTAATTGTAAAGAACCAGAGACCCTTTTTACTGGAAAAGAGGCATTCCATCTTAGTACTCACACTCACCATACGAAACACAGTAGCATTAAGCTGCTATTTTACGCTGGTATTCTGTAAGAGCGTGGTTCTTGCACGGTCGAGCCGACCCATTCGTGCTACAACTGTACTATTAATATAGCTGCAGCATGGCTCTACCACGTATACAATAATTATTACAAAAAGGAAGTCATAATGAATCTCAGAACAAGAGTGTTTTTCAATTATGGTTTCACGCGGAAAATATGTAAACCAATTGAACATTGAAATTGACAGCAAATATCAAATTTCGTGAAGACTGGCTCCGCGGCTAAGGTACATCTTTCGTAAACCAGACTCCTTAAACCTAATAGTTTAGTTCTGAGACTAACAATAAAACACATTTTGTAATAAGACCGTTAGGTTTGCAGTCTTTATTCCTAAGCATAAGGCTACTGAGTACTGACTTAAAGAGTCCCCCGTAATAGAATATGAGGTGATTAATTTATTTAACATTTCTATTTATCCTTCTAAAGTTCTCTAAACTTATGGCTAGCGTATGTGCTACAATTATGTGTTCAAAGTTTAGTGCAAAAGTTTTTTGGTTAATAGTACAAATAATATCGAACCTTGACTGTGCCTATGTATAATTTTCCGACACGACTTTCGTACATTTATTTATCGTTATTTCGATGTAAAAATGTACGATGCCTGTCGAAACCCATAAAATCTTTCGGGCATATCCATCAAACGATGTTTATCTCACCTATGAAACGAGGGCTTAGGTAATTCTCTTACTTACGTACCATATAGTGGGGTCTTTATAAATGATTCCCAGTGTTTATAAATTAAAAAAAATATAGAGTTTGCATTAGTTTTTATGCAACAATACTTTTCCAGATGTTACGATCTTTTTGTACAATTTTATTTAACTTTGGTGTTAACTACTCTAGTTGGTAAAGTTTTAAAAAGCTACGTTGTTATATCAACTGGAAACAGAAAATTTAACTCTAGGTTGAAATATATCGTGACAGAGTTTTATTTTCTATCGTTTTATTGCACTACCCTGTTCAGTTTAGCATTAGATTTTATGTAAAATTCATAATAAAATAACCTACACTTCATCATTCATCATCACTACAGCCTATCAAAATCCACTGCAGAACGTCTCCGCCATAGCCACATAATCTTTAACTTAAAATGCCTATATTTTTGGTTCTTTCCTAAAGAATAAGGACATGATCTATAAAGGATGGTAAGGTTACAGATGCTAATAGTCATCTGATTTCGTTCTGTTGATAAAATGCCATGCGAGCATGCAGGGTGGCATTATGACAAACACGCGACCGATTTACGTGGTAGAGCCACGCTACACCTATATTATGGTTGTAGCACGAATGGTTACCCATTCCTGACTTGACCGGGAAAAGGCTCTCTCAGAATACCTGCGTTAAATAGCAAATTAACTATGCCGTGTTTCTTATGATGTGTGTACAGTACCGGACACCGTTCTTTACGGGAAACGAGGCATTTCATCTAAGCCTTGAGGGGTGACAACGCATCTTCCTATTTATTCTTTATCAAGGATAGATGTAGATGTCTATCGGTCCCAGCATCCACATACCATCCGGTGCACTGTGTGCTCGTTTGTCACCCATATTCTATAACCAAAAACATGCCTTAGTATTACGCTGTTCTGAATGGCGGCTGCCCGTGTTGTATAGACAACTCACCACCCCGTGGTTAAGCCACACGCCAAAAAATGACGTTTTTATCTCTTTTAAGATAATGACGCACCGACAACATGATTTTAATTGGTCGAAGATAAATGCAGATGTCTCTAGTTAATAGAATCAATCAATACTTTGCGGAAATCCATTATATTAAAGTTGGAAAAAAATTTACTTTGCCAATATACGCTCAATAAAATAAAATGATATCTCTTACCTAGTTGCGGGAGGGCTGATCAGCCACCGCAGAGTCTACTACACCTGAGGATGCCTCGTGAATTACAGTCGGTGGTGTGTCTTACCTAGTATAGAGGTGGTGAGCGTAGTGGTACTGGGATTAGTGGTGATGGGGATAGTGCACGCAATTGAGGAGGTGATCTTCAAAAAGTGAGCGGATATTAGCAAAGTAAATTTTTCCAACTTTAGCAGATGTCTATGGTCATTTAGGATTACATAGACTGCGTCTTTAATACGGACACGTAATAGTCATCTGATTTCCAACTTACCTCTTACCACAAAGCTGTTATGAAAACTTTTTGGCTGTAATAATAAGCTGGTACCTTTTCTTAGTAATGTTAATAGGTAGAGCGACGACCTTATGAAACATTCCGGTCGGTAGGAGGCAAGTCAATGGATGCAGATGGCTCAGGGCCGTAACTTATATGCCATTGGAGGCTGACCTGTCGTTTAAATATAAATAAATACAGAATACAGTAGACATATCCTAATTTAAAACTGTAAACGTCTCCCATTACATTTTGTCATATTTAAAGTATCAAGTGTCATAAATTCTAAATCTGCGCGATCTTTTTATTGTATTTAAGTGATAAAAGTGATAAAATCTAATAAAAATATTATCTATATATTGATCCAATAATGGGTATGATGATGATGATGATGATGATGATGATGATGATGACGACAATGACAAGTCTACCATGTAAGATTAATTACAATACTTTCTCCTATATTACAGTGCGTAATTTGTGTGAACGCGAAAGCTACGATGCAGACGTCGCCTTGCGGCCACCGCGTGGTTTGCAGACGGTGCTTCGTGAAGACCATACAGATGGCGGTGAGCCAGCGCTTGCTGCCTCTGCGCTGCGTCATCTGCCGTGCCAAGATATTGCGGCTGAGACAAGCGCCCCGGCTCGTTACCAGCAAGAGTTGGCAAGTGAGTGTTACTCGTATTTCCACCTCGAATTATTTTTGTACGCTTTTATGTTTTGGTAATATATTTTATTACTAGATAGTTACAAATCTATTTTTAACAACTTACATCTAACATATTTGTCTATTTGATTTGATACGTCAAATAAATAATTATTTAAATATTGGAATCATCGTTAGTTTTATTACACTATACTTAATGATCATTATTATTGCTGTGCACTGTAAAATGTACTGAGTGTCGTTAGAGGCGATAGAGAGTTAGAAGGAAACTGAAACAGGAGATGGGCAAACGGTATCTTATCATAATAATAACTCAAAATAATGGAAAATTGTGGTTAAATGAAACCAGTTTTTTTTTGGGTTTTATCGCGTTTAATTAGTTTATTTTATATAACGTTTTCAGTACTTTGCAGTACCCATGATAACGAGGTCTGTGGTGCTGTGGTGTTTCACATCCCAATGTAATAAATAGTTAACTACAGCTACTTTCAACTTAAAGTTTATTAATTTGGTCCCATCTACGCAGAAGGATCTGCTGGTTAAATCTAAATAAATATAATAAATAATTATAGAAAACTACGGTGGTCAAGTATGTAATGTACGGGTGTAAGGGGCTCCGCTAAGATCTTGGAGCCCAAGCCAACCCCGCCTGCACGTGGCGCACCTGCTGGACAACGGAAAGGGTTCTAGCGATGCCACTCCTCTGCGATTCGTCCTAGGGGTTCGGGGGTCAGACGGCAGTCGCCCCGGTAATTGGCACTAAGCCACTCATAAATGGAAAGTAAAAAAAAGAGATATACGTTTAGGATTAGGGCGTCGGTCGTCGACGATTCGAGCCGCTCTGCGCTGGATGCGGTCAAGTGGAAGGAGCTGGCACTGGGGAGCCCCTGCCCAGAGATGGGAACAATATTCCATGTGAGGCCGAACCTGCGCCTTGTAAAGTTGCAGGTGGTATGCCGGCATGAAATACTGTCCCGCTCTGCACGCCAAGCTTTTTAGAGACAAATTTGGCCTTCTCTTCCAAGTGACCACAAAACTGCACGTCACTCGATATGTTGACTCCTAGGATACCGATACTGGCTGAGGCAAGAAGGGCAGTGCCTTGAAACTGAGGAGATACGACAAAGGCGTTCTTTTTAGCGGTAAACGCGCAAACTTGTGTCTTCTGAGGATTAAACTGAACCAGATTTAGTCGCCCCCAATCCGAGACTTTGTTCAGCAAAGACTCTACTTCAGACACAAGTTTATTCCGGTACTCGGCGACGTTTTCCCGAGAACTATTGGCACGGCCGGTGTATAGAGCATCACCAGTGCTGTCATCCGCATAGCAATGAATGTTACCAGTTAGCAAAATATCATTGATATGCAGAAGAAACAGCGTTGGTGATAGCACACAGCCTTGTGGAACACCAGCGTTAATAGGCTTGTAGTCAGAACATGCACCGTCTACAACGACCTTGATGCTCCGATCTGCAAGGAAGCTGGTGATCCAATTGCACAATTTCTCGGGAAGCCCATAGGAAGGGAGCTTCGAAAGAAGCGCTTTGTGCCAAACCCGATCGAAGGCCTTCACAATGTCCAGACTAACGGCCAACGCCTCCCCCTTGGACTCTACCGCCCATCTATGGGTCAGGTAGACCAGAAGATCACCAGCTGATCGACCCCGACGAAAACCGTATTGGCGGTCACTAATCAGCTGGTGATCCTCAAGGTACCGGATGAGCTGGCAGTTAATAATGGATTCCATTATTTTGGAGAACAAGGAGGTGATCGCGATAGACCTATAGTTGGAGGGGTCTGAGCGGTCGCCTTTTTTAGGGATCGGGTGGACAAAAGCTGTCTTCCATGAATTCGGTACTACGCCTTGGGAGTAGGAGTACCGGAAAAGACTCGTTAGGACCGGTGCCAACTCCGGAGCACACGTCCTCAGCACAATTGGGGGGATTCCGTCAGGCCCACTCGACTTCTGGATGTCCAGGGAGAGAAGTGCTTTGCGAACCGAGCGCTGTGAGAACAGCACATCCGGCATGAAGCACTCACACCACTCATACTTCTTTTTAAGTGTGCTGGTGCTTACATCCCGAGTCGCCGAAGCCGCAGCCCAGGCTTGATAACACTCCTGCTTACTGCGTAATGCAGTCTTACAGGAGCGACCAAACCAAGGCTGAGATCTGCCTCCGATGGGTACCACAGATGATGGAATAAATAATTCCATTCCCTGTAGCACCACATCAGTGACAGAGTCAGCAACAGCGCTGGGATCATCCGGCGAGAAGCAAACCCGCCCCCATGGGTAGGATGCAAAGAAAGACCGCATTCCGTCCCAATCCGCCGACCTGTAATGCCAAACACGACGGCAACCTGCAGAACGCAACCGCGAAGGGAGCGTGAGTGGCACCATACTCCTGATCAGACAATGGTCCGAAGAGCCGAGAGGGGCATCGACGGAAACCTGATATCCGTCCGGATGAGAGGTCAGCAGAAGGTTCAACAGGGAAGGTGTATAATCCTCCACATCTGGAATCCGCGTAGGCGAAGTAACCAGTTGTGTCAGACCATATGCCAAGGCAAAGTCATAAACAGATCTCCTCGCATGATCGGTTAAACGTGAACCGAGCCATTCGGCATGGTGGGCGTTAAAATCGCCAAGAATCACGATCTCTGCGTATGGGACCTGTTGTAGCAAGGAATCTGTAGCCATTTGGACGTGGTCGATGAGTCGGTCTGTTTCGGCATTACCGCTATGGGATCTATAGAGGCACCCGTAGACGCGCGGATGGTCGTCGCTGTCTACGCGTAGCCAAAGGATGGACAGGTCCGAACCTTCAAGACTGCCGTGGCGTTGAGAACATATGTCCGCTCTGACATACACGCAAACTCCAGCCCGAGGCACAAAGGAGTGCTCGAATTTGTATCCTGGGTAGGAGAGATACGAAATATCTGCCGGAGAGGAAACCTGCGTCTCGGTCAGAAAGAGCAAGGCCGGCTTCGCCGTCTCGAGATGGTAGTGGAAGGCGTAGGTTAGAGTAAAGTCCCCTGATGTTCCAGAAATTCACGGATAGCTTGGCAGGGGTAGGGTTACCATATCTCAGGATTTGTCCTGAGATCTCAGGATTTTTGGACTCTTCTCAGGATTGCGGCTGGATTTTGGAAATGTCCTGAAATCTCAGGATTTTTAGAAATTTCAATACAAACTAAAAATAATTTTCCATTGGTAATAATTCCACAATTAAAATCAAAACTTATTTATCCAAGTAGGTACTTAAACAATTTTATCATACTTAATATGGTATTGTTGCTGAGTTTGCCCCGAGCAGTTATGTTTTTGAGCGGAATTTTGCCCCCCCCCCCCCCCCCCCAGAATACGCAGGGCAGCCTGAGCACCCACGCTCAGGATTGGAATAACATGGTCGTGGAAGCTCAGCGAGGGATTCTCCAGGGGTAGTCTATCGTGTAATTCCGCTACCATGTTGATGGGGGGGGGGGGGGGGGGGAATTGGGCCTCCGGCCACCTGCACTCACCAGACGAAACGCAGAAGCAAAGCTTCTACTTCACGCCGGTATTCTGTGAGGTCGTGGTACCAACCCGGCTCGAGCCGGCCCATACGTGCAACAGCAAAAACTGCTGCGTGGCTCTACCACCGCAAAAATTTACGTATAATCATGTTATACGTAATTTTTTAATACGCTTAAGACATCCACAATTGGATTTACCAATAGTTTTTTTAAATATTACAGTGAAAATATGGCCTGTTTGAAAGCATTTTATACAAGTATAAGTTTTATACATGGTAGAGCCATGCTGGAGCTATGGTTGTAGCACGAATGGGTCGGCTCGACCGGGGAAGGCCCACGCTCTCACAGAATACCAGCTTAACACTGCTGTGTTTCGTGTGGTGAGTGTAGAGAACCATAGACCCTTTTTACTGGAAAAGAGGCATACCATCTTAATCGTCACGAGTGACCAACACATCTGGATTTTGAGTCTTTATTGAGAAAACATGTATATGTCTATGGGTCACAGCAACCACCATCAGATGGACTGTGTGCTCGGTGGTCACCCTTTTCTAAAAAAAAAGTAAGGGTAGCAAACGCACACACAGTCTAACTGACGTTAATAAGGTTGTTTGCTGTATTCCTTAGACAACCTACAACTACCGTCTTCCGATCCCCGAGAGTAAAGATGGAATGACGCATTACTAGTAAAAAGGATCCCTGTTTCTTGTCTATCGCCATACGAAAACAGCAACATTCGTCGAGCCGACTTACTCGTATTGCTGTAGCCATATCACAGTTATTAATTATCTGTTAAACATGGACATCTCCAATAGCAGAGACGATATACCGTAATTATCGAGTTTAGCTGGCGGATTAACAATCTCAGATCCAGACCCCTCGCACCTCGTGAACTGCTCCCCGGCACATATCGGGTCATATTTTAGTGTTGATTATTCTCCCAAGTATGGTTATTTTTCTAGCAATAATTACTTGATTTCTACGAAAAAATTCTTCGTGCAAAAATATTAAATATCTCTGTAGTCATAAGTAGCGTTTGGAGGAAATAAAATAATTACAGTTTATCTTCTTCTTTTTTTTAAGAACAGTAAGGAAAAATCAGTTTATTGGCGGGAAGAAAGACAACTATTTTCTGTTAAAAACATTTTGTTAAAATTTATTGGCTACATTTGTTTCATTTTATATTAGTGACCATTACTTGAAACAACGTAGGTATAACATTAATTATTTCGGTTAATCAATAAGTAAGTTTGCGGTATTGAAAAAGTGTGTCACGGACAAAACGTCACGAGACTATGCCGAAATTTGCTACAAAAAAGGTATTTGTTGCCCACTACGTATTTCACTCTATAGACAGGTCATTTGTCTTGGATTCTATTTTTAAATTATTCGGGTGATGTTATGTAGCTAATGCAGCTACTTCTATAATCAACTTTTAATCAAAGTAGATCACAGATCAGTCACAACTGTAATTGTAGCTTTATTTATACTAACTATCGTAACTTTCAAATCCGGACACAGCTTTAACGCTACATTGTTAGTAATTTTTTAAGTTTTGAGTTTATTTAATTTTTTTTAAGTTTCGAATTAAATTTCAAATCAATCCAAGGTCACATAATATGTAATTAGGTACTGATCTCATGTAACATTGCTTAACTGCGATGATTGCATGGCCCATTAAACATATATTGCGGTTCAAGCAATTAACAGCAATTAACAATCTTATTAAAAAGCTAAATAGTAATATAATTATACTCCATGTAGAAGATTGTAGTTAACTCATCTGTACCCATCCACATAAGGAATTTTTCTCAAGTTGAAAGATTCTTATATCTGGGGTTTACCATAAAATAGTTGTTAATCAGATGGACATGAAACAATCTATTTTTGTACGCTTAACAAAAGTGCCCGGCTTTCGTCGGGTGTAAATAAGATAGGTATGTGCGCTTGCCTTATGCTACAGTTGGGTTATGCTCGTTCTCATGTATACCTTGGCAAAGTCAGGCGGACTCAGACCGAACTTAACGTCCTAGGTTGTAAAGTTTAACCTGTCATGATGTCACCAGGATGCACCATTCGAGATCGTCGCTGATGAGGCTAGAATTGCTGCGGAATCATGGTGGGTGTGACTTTTTGAGCGCCCTCACCATGCACAATTGCAAAGTGTGTAAACCTTCGTAATTACTTCCTAACGACATCAGATGCCCATTCTACACGGACGGGTTCATTACGTGTGTGGACTTACCCCTTTATTATTAGGCAACGAACAATGGCAGAACCCGGCAGTGCAAAACAATGCCGACCGGGAGGCCTTGTGTAAAGATAAAGAGCGCCACAGGAGGTTCTAGAAGACCTTACACTGTCTACGCTTCGGCGACCTCTTTAGGAAAATGTTGTTGTAGGTTTTGTCTGTACAAATACAGGATTAGGTTGTTATACCCAACTAAATATGGTCACATCGACATCTCTCGAGCTTGTTGCCATCTCGCTGAGTCGCTTAGACATGACATCTCTGGTTACTGGGCGCTCTCTTACTCTGTATTTGCACAGACACAACTTAGTAGCTACTCGTAGAATTCTATATCAGAACCCACTGAAGTGCAACAATTGCCTTAAAAATGCTTAAAAATGGCGGCGCCAGACTACTGGGACCGGGCCGTCATCTCAAACAGGACTATTCTTGCGTGATATTGTCGTGATGGTCCGGGCACAATCAAGGATATTTTGGGTCGATAGTATTATCCCATATGAGTTAAACCTCTTGAAAGCCGAAACAGATAAAAATACGAAATATAAAAATCGTCTACTTCAACAGGTATCGAGTACCAACAGCAAGTCATGGGGCGTGCCCGGCTCGGTGTCGAGCTACTCTGTGGGTGCCCGTTCAGTGCCCGCCTCGGCCTCACTCTATTCCGTCACCAGCGGTGAATCTTCCCTCTCCGGTAAAGTTCATATTATTGCCTTATTACTCTAATTTGCGTATAATTCTTAATTTAATTTCCATTATTATTTGCCGTATTTTTGTCAATCGTCCTTTTGAAACAATTGTAAATTTAATAGAATTGACGATATCTTAATTTATCACGTTATTAATAAAAGTTTTCATTTACCAGTGTGGTAGCAAAGAGGGAGTGGGTCAGGAGGCAATTGGCTCCAGGCAGCAGATTATATAGGAAACGGCCTTTTTGGAAAGTCAACTCCCGACTTAACTTTTACATTATCATCATCATCATCATTTACAGCGGCTCATTACTAAGTTAACTACTAAACATGGGACCCCAAGGAAACTCACAAAGCACGGCCCTGAGACAGCTACATCATAAAAATTAAGAAAATCTACACACATTCACCCATGTTCTATACGTGGTAGAGCCATGCTCTAACAGAATACCAGCGTATAATGGCAGCTTAACACTGCTGTGTTTCGTATGGTGAGTGTAGAGAACCGGAGACCCTTTTTACTGGAAACGAGGCATTCCATCTTAGTCCTCACGGGTGACGACGCATCTGCATTTTCATTCTTTATTCAGGATAAATTTAGATGTATATGAGTCACAGCAACCACTTACCATCAGGTGGACTGTGTGTTCGTTTGTCACCCTATCCTAAAAACACACACACGCACACACACACACACACACACATGCCAAGGATACACAGACTTACGACTACATAAGACTTTTAACGATTTTATATGTTTAAAGATAGAGAGAGGTACTTTCGAAAATTGGAGGGCGATATTTTTTCTTAGGTTCCTGGGCAGCAGCAACCCATGTTACACCGCTGTCATATTCAATTAATTTAATATTAAGCCAACTTCAAAGAAAGGAGGAGGTTCTTAATCCGACTGTACTTTATGTACGACTGTTTTTTTCTTTGTACAATTTTTGGCCAGTGTGAAGGGATTTTAATAATTTTTTTTTAATATTAAATTATACTTCAGAATTGATCCCATATAAATTTTAAGCAAAAGATCCGCTGCTAAGGGTGGTTGAAATTTTTATTTACACCACATTCTAGTTGTTATCTTAAGCTTATGACAAGTGTCAAAACTAAATGAAAACCGATTCATTAGACCACAGAGTACTTTTTATATACTGGAACCTGGAACATTAGACATTTTGACATTCATAAAATCATTACGAAAGATTGCGGTGTTATGCAATTATAAATGATATTATTAATAATTATTATAAACCTTATGATCCTCAGGAGTGTCTTCCGTTTCGTCGAATAGTGGTGGTAATGTAAGCAGCAGCTGTACGACCAAATTATGTGGTGGAAGTAAATGTGGTGGGGCTTGTCTTGGAGCCGTCCCCCGACCACCGTCTGCTTCCGCGCCGCCGAAGCCACGCCAGCCAGCCTCGAATTCTTTACGACGTTCACAACACCATAGCATGAAGGTACTTTCTTGCTTATTTACTACTCAGTGTGTAATAATGCAATGGGATATTTCTTTCTTTTTTAAACTTCCTACAACGTATATACTAAGGCTGTAGGACTCTTTAGTAACACGGGCCTATAGATAGTTGCCTATTTTGCCTTTAGTTTAATCTAGGGCTGAGTGTCACCGAAGTTTAAAATCGGCCAAAAGGACATCGTCTAATGAGTAAAAGACTACTCAAAGAAATGATATGTGGAACTTAATTAGAAACTCGATATTCGTTTGAGAGCACAGTTATTACACTTTTTCGTGTTCGCACACCTAGAAATGAAATCTTATCGAAATAAAATCGAAAAAAAAATCAAACTTGGCATTAACAAACAAAGAATAGAATAAAATAGAATAAATGTTATTCCTTATAGATTACAAGTGATACTTTATGGGGGAACAAATCAGAGCAGCAGTGACATACTAATAAAAAATAGAAAATAAAAAAAACTGTGGTTGCCAACCAGCCTGCCAATCGTATATCGCAAATATCCCACCTTATAAGGCAACCTATGGAGAGGCCTATTTCCAGTGGTAGACATGAATGATTGAAATCATAAATACTTATGGAACGTAGTTTAAGCTTTACCACTAGTTCGGAAAAAAAACCTCTGCTCTGAGACGAACCCGCAGGAAACTCAGTCGGATTTGTTTTAATAAATAATAATTTACAATATTGTATCCATTAAATAAAAAAACTTTAAGAAACAACATGGTAACCATGCTCGTCCCATTCCCAGGAATTTTTATTATTCGTCAACAGCTTCTGTTTAATAAAAATTTTAAGCTCATAAATAAGTCCTGCATATTATCAAGGACTTTCTAAAAGCTTTTAACATGCGCCATTAGCCCATGGCCCATTAACGAATTACGGACTCTTTGGAGTTAAATAACTGGTATAACTAGTTTTCTAGTTCTAGTGTTATAAAAATGCATTTTGTAAGTGTCACAAGTGTACATTTTGGTTAGGTACATATTTGTTGATGACGGTGAACAATGTTATTTAAATTTATTTATTTATTATTTATTTAAATTTAAATTATTTATTTAAATTTATTATTTATTTAATTTTATTTATTTATTTAATTCATAAACTTGTGGCTTACAGAAAATCCAACACGCGCACAAGGTTAAATTTTACATGCAAAAAATTTTTTTCAGAAATAGTATCCATCCATTACAACAAAAATTAATAATCATAAATTAAATAATTATAAAATAATAGTAATATAAAATCTCGAAGCTTTTGGCAGCCCGTGTCAGAAATTAAAATGGTAATAAAGCCAATTAAAACCATAAAGTATTAATAATTAAACATTTTGTCATATCAATTTATAATGCAATGTCAATAAAAACTAATAACAATCTTAATATGCCCATAATTAAAATTACATCTTAAATATAAAGTATAAATAGTACATAGTCAACGAAATTAAATTGTCCAATTATTAATTGTCATATCATCAATGATTTTATAAAAAAGAGTCAGCAGACGTGTTATACTGTCTGCAAATAGGTCAATTTCATCGTGCTGAGTGAGTATGTCCCCTATAAGTATTAATGCACGATTTGTTAGTGCAAAAGCAGCACGTTTGGTACGCGTAACTGGTCTATCTAGAAGACGCGCCCTACGGCGCGGAGCCACCGTTCCTCCATTACCTCTATGCAGGTACCTGGGCACCAACAAACCGATTCTCTCCATAACCGACTGGCAATCCAACTTGTGGTGAATTATAGAAAGATAGTGCCTAATAGTTGACATCACCCTCCTAAACATTAGGGTTTCAAAATCAACCATACCCAAGACGAATAAAGAAGGATACAAATAAGGGTAGTACCCATGAATTTTCTTATAAAGCCTCGTTGGCAAATTTAATTTAGTTAATTTAGTTAGGGAATATTGATGTACGTAACGGACTCAGTAGCGCATTATTTAGTATTCTTAAACTATTATGTCTGTAATATTATTATATGAACCCCTTAAAATAAAAATTTTAAAAAACTCCTTAACGTGATATAATGCAGCTCCTACAAATGGCGGATGCGTACATAATGGATACCGTCGCGAATTTACATTTTCTCTTTGTTATAAAATGACATTCAGTAATGGAACCGAGTTCCCTTTCAGCATAAAACATCTTTCGTTGTACCTATATTTGTTTTCACTTTTGTAACCTAAGAAAAATTTTCCATACAAAAAGAATACTTCTTAATAATTTTTATCTACTTATACCTTTTCATTTGATAAATTAATAGTCAATCGATGAATTTATTTCAAGGACAAATTCAACGGGATAATTTATTTTTTAATTACATAAACAGGTACCTATTAATAATATTTATGTATAAATATTTTTACATATACAATACATATTTTACATATACATACAGTAATATATATATATATATATATATATATATATATATATATATATATATATATATATATGTACCAGCTGACCAGGCAGACGTTGTTCTGGCTTTTTAGACGACCCTTCATATAAAAAATCCGTAATAAAAAAATATTGAGTGTCACTTATCAGAATAAAAACTATCCTAAAAAAAAGTGGGCAAATTTCATTGAAATCAGTTCAGTAGTTTAGGAGTTCATCGCGGACAAACAACGTGACACCTAATTTTTATATATAAAGATATGGGTTCTGTCTCCCGGAGGGTCGAAAAGTGGATTGCGGAAGCCCGTCTGGCTACTCTGAATGTATGTGGAGCAATGAATGATAATATGGATGAAGTATGCGATATGATGTATGATAGAGGAATAGATGTGTTATGTGTAAATGATACGAAACGGAAGGGAACGGATGCCACTACACATGGCATGTATACCGCGTACTGGTCTGGTATAGACGAGACCGAGCGGCCATGCCAGGGAGTCGGTATCATCCTTTCAGAAAGAATGGGCCATTGTGTAAGAGTATGACTGTGTAAGCCCGAGACTGCTATGGATACGAATGAAAGTGGGCTTAAAGAAGTTGTTTGTTCTGGGGGTCTACACCCCAGTCATGTCCAAGCCCACTTATATCTGAGAGCAGTTTTGGGAGATGGTAAGAATGGTGCTAATGAAATGCAAGGGCAATGAAAATATTGTTATATTAGGAAATTTTAATGGATGGGTTGGCTTAAAGAGGCTTGGTTATGAAAGTATAAATAAGAATGGTGAAAGCCTCCTCACCGTATGTGTGGAAAATAATCTTTTTGTAACGAACACTTTCTTTCGTCATAAGAACATTCACATGTATACATGGAAAAGAGGTGATGATAGAAGCATGCTAGATTTCATAATACAAGGGTTTACCGGGGGTCCAACATGGGGACGCATCATTACTTGGTCGTATGCCGAATTAATGTTCTATTCAGACGTTGGCAGCATCAGACATCTGTGTCTACTACTGCGTTACAGAGTATAAGAACAGAGAGGTTACCAGATGAAGGTGTGAAAAATGAAGTTCAAATGTAAACTGATAGCAAATATAAGTGGTATGGATGAATTGTGTATGAATGATTTATGGCCAAATACTCAAACGCTACTCCATTTTTAGATGTTGTTATATCTTGTTGTGTCACAGTCACTTTGACTTAAAGTGATAGAGAGAGCACGAGACTTAACGCCATCTTCAAATTGAGCAGCGTTTGAGTATTTGGAAATTAGACTTGGAGACTGTGTGGTATAATGTCAAGAAAGGTTTGGTGGATGCAGCTACCGAAGTATGTGCTGTAAGTAAGAGAACGAATGAAAGGAAACTTTATGGTGGGATGATGAGTTACGGATGGAAGTTGAAGCAAAGAAGAAAGCATGGCTAGATTTACTAGTAACTAAGGCTAGTTATTCTAGCGGTATGAATGATGAAAGAAAAAAGGCAGTCTTTAGTCATCTAAATAAGAGAGTAAAAGAAGTAGTTAAAAGGAAAAAGCAAGAAAGAACGGATAAGAATGATAGAATAATATCGGATAACTTCCAGGCAAATATTAAAATATTCTAGAAATTCGTAAGAACTGCCAGGAGACATTCAAAACAGCCTAGAATGAATGCTATACGAGACCAGATTGGCTGTGTTCTGAATGACGAAATTTCGAGTTTAAGGAGATGGAAGGAATACTTTGTTTTTGTGTGTTTTGTGTTTAGGAGTAATGCGACGTTTGAATTAAATGAAATACAAATTCCGAAAGAAGAGGAAAGAGATAGAGAGATAAGTATAGATGTAATAATGAAAGCAATTAAAAGCATGAAAGTAGGTAAGGCAGCCGGTTATGATAGAGTATCACTCGAAATGATACTGGAGAGGGAGTGGTGGCAGACCTGCTGTACATCTTGTTTAATTTATGTTGGGAACTTAAGCGGGTGCCGAGAGACTGGTGTAAAGCCGTGATAGTGCCAATATATAAGGGAAAAGAATCGCAGCAGGATTGTAAAAAACCAAAAGGTTTTTGTGCGTTCGTGGACTTGGAAAAGGCTTATGACAGAGTGGACAGGGATGTGCTATGGCAAACATGAACTCATTTGGGTTGGGCGCTGCGCTGGGAGCTTGTGTCAGGATCAACGGGGCCTACTCGGACTGATTTGGCATCCATAAAGGTGTCAGACAGGGCTGTGTGACTTTCCCATGTCTGTTCAACGTCCATAAATAGGTCCATAATAGTTGTTTGGAAAATTTGAAAATTGAAGAATGCGGGTTAAGAATGGGTGAGTTAACCGTCAAATGCCTTTTGTACGCCGATGATCAAGTCATACTTGCGTCGTCGGCGGCCGAGTTGCAAATGATGGTTACATTAATGAACAGGTCGTTAAAAGAAAGGGAAATGAAAGTAAACGCAAGTAAGATGAAAGTTATGGTTTTTGAAAGAGGAGTAAGTAAAACGATATGTAAAATAAAAATAGAAGGGGAATTGGTCGAGCAAGTAGATGAATTTGTGTATTTGGAATGTGTATTTAGCAGGGATGGTAGATATGATAAGGATTTTGAACGACGAATGAATGCAGGAAATAGAGTAAATGGAGCTCTACACTCTATTGTGGAAAGTCAGAATGTGTCCAAATAGGCATGTATGGCAATTCACAATGCTGTGTTAGTCCCTACTTTAATGTATGGTAGTGAAAGTTGTGAGTGGCAGAAGAAGAACGAGAGTAGAATAAATGTTGTAGAAATGCGGTCATTAAGGAATATATTAGGGCTGAATCTGAATGACAGAGTGAGAAATTGTGTGATAAAAGGAGAGTGTGGTTTGCAAGATGATGTTGTGACTAGGATTAAGAAAGGAATGCTTCGGTGGTTTGGTCATGTAGAAAGAATGAATGAGGAAAGAGTGACAAAGCAAATTTATGTTGCAGCGGTGAACGGTAGAGTCGGAAAGGCACGCCCTAAGCGAAAGTTTATCGACCGAATTGGATATATTGAAATATGGTATATATTGAAAATGGGCCAAATTAAGAGTACCCTTAACCGACGACCGTGTATGCGTAGGTATGTAGGTATATATATATATATATATATATATATATATATATATATATATATATATATATATATATATATATATATACAATAGTATATACAATAAATAGTTGTCGATTGGGCAGATATATGTTAAGCAGTAAAGTTTTATGATGGTCTGTATTGATGATGTGTTTTTCAATTTCCTAATTCATTCCAGGCTAGACTTCAAGAATACCACAGTTATACGGGCGGACCTGCAGGAGAGCCTTCGGGGCGACTTCCTCCTATTAGAGAATTCCAGAGAGAGTTCCGCGAGGGAAGACGCGACAGTGCGACTACTTCTTGTGCCTCTACTAGAATAAGGTAGAAAGAAAAAAAATTCTCAAGATATTTTAATTTACTTAATATAATTAAAACTATGTAATTTAATTAGCCATCTGATAGTTGTAACTTAATTAGGTAGCTTCCGCCTTAAATTTCATTACACGTATTACGTGAGTTTACAGAAAGATCGGTAATTGTATGTGTAGATAAACATCGCAAGAAAACTGTTTGTTCTAGAAACAAAATATATTTCGAAAGCATCCATTATCTCGCTCCGGGGCCGCGAAATAGCCTCTTTCCTCCAGTAGGTAACTAAGAGAGAATTTTTGTAACGAGCAATAAATTTTACTGTTTATTTTATAAAACTGAAATGACAAATAAATGACCTTAGTCCACCTAATTGTAACTGGCTACTGTAGTGCATGGACACTTTCAGTCAACTTCAAACAATACAGTAGGCTACAGTACAGATTCATTGTAATTCTGAGGACTAACACAGAATGCCGCCTGTAATTAATTATAAAGGCTCTCTCTCTATACACTTCAGACTGACACAGCAGTGCCAGCACTACTTTTTGGCGGCAGTAATAGGTTAGAGGATGGTACCTACCCAGACGGAGTCACGGGCAAAAATGGTGGGAGTCCTACCACCTTCTAACTTCTACTTTATTGAATCGGATAATTTATAGTGGTTGTCTTATGTAACATACAAGTTAATATTATAATATATTATTATATGTTATCTGTATATTATTTACAGGTGCGCACAGAAAATAGTGACACAGCTAGAAACTTCACCACAGATAGACAAACAACATTTCTTCCGACCTCAAAAACCTTCAAATAAAGACGATTCCCCTAAATCTAGAGACCATAGCAAAGAGACTGACAAGAAAAAAGATAACCCCAAAACAAAGCCCAAAAAAGAAGATAAGAAAAAGAAAGAAGAGGAAAAGGTTAAGCCAGGAGAGAAAAGTAAAAAGGATGAGAGTTGTGATAACAAGAAAAATGATATGGCAGAGAGAAAGAAGGAAGAAAAATTAAGGCTCAAAGCTGAGAAAGAAGCCAAAAAAGAAGCTAAACTTCAGGCTAAGGAAGAAGAAAGACAGGCTAAATTGTTGGCTAAAGAGGAGGAAAGGCAAGCAAAGTTATTAGCGAAAGAAGAGAAAAAGAAAGCGAAGAAAGAAGCAAAGTTGGCGGCACAAGCAGAAAAAGAGAAAGCAAAATAACTATATGGTTTTAGAATTTACGTCGTAGAAACTCGTAGCCGTCTTTAGGATTTAGATTTGAAATCGTTATTGAGGAATCGTAAAACTGAATAGAGTATTTTTTAGAAATTTCGTAAGCCTGTTATTTCAATAATTAACAATAAAATCATCATTTTAACAGTATTCATTTCATTATTATTTTTTATATGATTAAATTTGTAAAATAGCATGACGATGTAGATACTTTTAAAATACAAATTTTTGTTTTATAGCTAATTCGCAATATTTCCAATTGTTATCTATTTAGAAGCGTTGTACATAGTTTTAAAGTCAAATGTTAATATGAAAAGCAATTTAAAAAAAATGCATAGTAGTTGGGTCTTAGTTGGAACTTACAAACTGCGAAGACTGAACGAACGGGATGAAATCATATCGTTTTGTATTTACTTGTGTAACAATATTGTTAAGAGCTTTGTGCATTACTGTACCACCCTGTTAAATTTATTTGTTTTTGTTGATATCTGCCACATTATTATTTATGAATCATTATTGTTTCCTGTTGTTTTGTTCCTGTGAGGCCAATGCTCAACAGTGGACTTGTGAAGGACTTTAATGATGATGACGATGAATAGTGCTGTTTCCTTACACTAGCTTGTGAGATTCAGCTTCTTTGCCTATTTAGATTAATTATCCATATTTCGCCAGAGCCTGCTCCGCAATTCAGTAGGGTGCACTCGCAGACCAGCAAAGAAAGCTGGAAGGAGCGCTTCAGTTTCAAGTGACGCCGGAACCAAGCCAAAATATGCTCAAGTTATTGTATAAACACACACACACACACACACACACACGTACGTGTGCGTCAAAGAACAAACTTATACAGGTTGTTTAAAAAAGAAACATTTGTTGTGCCTGTAAAGAAGTTGAGCATGGTTTCGGCTTCACTTAAAATGCAGCCGCTGCCCTTTGTGTATCTTTCTTTGTTCTGATAGAGGTAAATGTTGGAGGTGCCCTAACTTGGTGGCAGGAAGTTAAGAAAATTCGTTACCTTGCCTTCGTTAGCTTGGCTCCTTCGTGTATCGTGTTCCAAAGGGAACTTTATGCACTTGGCAGTTCAATTGAAAAAAAACAATAAACATTATGAGTGATTCTACATCCTCGCTCGGCCTGTTGGAAAACCTTAAATTGATCCATCCTCTAAGGGTGCATACAGATCAAGTAGGTAACATGTTGTATAACATTATGTAACATTGCTTTTCAACATTGCAACATATAACAATAATGTACACATTAGAATAACAATATTATATGACATTGTCGTTGGCGTTCTGCCGTTCGAGTTATATAACACGTCTTATAACATTCAGCCTCCATATTACTGAAACATATTATATAATTTTTATTACGGTGCGTAAACATGTTATGTTATATTATAATGTGTACGCACCGTAACCAAACACATAAAGGAGTGCATAGAAGACATCCGGTCATAGTGGAGAAGAGTGCAGTTTTTCGACGGGGCATTTGTAAAAGATGTTCGCATAAAAGCTAATATAAAAGTAAAAACAGGTTATAATTTTAAAAATGGACACATCGTGTTCTGCGATTAAGAATTTATTAAACAGACTATACCTGGCAACTCTGTACAATGTTATTTTTGTAGTTTATGTTTATTTGTATTTTCAAAGCAAGCTTATATAATACTTAATGCAATAATACACGTTTCGTTACATAATCACCTGTTAAACAATTATCTCGGGTATTTGAGTTAAGCAAAACTTATGTTAACAGAAGATATGTTCTACTGATCCCACGGATCTTTCTCTTAAACAAATCTGTATGGATATATACATAAAATTACATTATTGGGAATAATAATCATGGTAAAGGTCGAAATGTAGAGTCATATCAATTCGCATAACTAATAGTTAAGTGTTGACATTACTTTTGTAAGGTTTCCGAATGTGGGATTTTATTGTCAATCGTTAGAATTTCCTGTAAAATAAATAACAATGTTACCATACTCGCGTTTTCATTATCTTTATTTAGAAACCTTGGCTTAAAAGCAATCCTTAGTAATTATTTAACTTAGCACGGATGGTGGTAGACTTGACATGGATATAGAATGAAGAATAAGAGTATGTACGATAGGACATACGTGAATGTAGATGCGTCGTCACCTGTGAGGACTAAGATGGAATACCTCTTTTCCAGTAAAATAGGTCTCCGGTTCTCTACACTAACCATACGAAACACAGAAGTGTTAAGCTGCTATTTTACGCTGGTATTCTCTGAGAGCGTGGTCCTTCTCCGGTCGAGCCGACCCATTCGTGCTACAACTATACTACTAATATAGCTGCAGCATGGCTCTACCACGTATGAATGCTTACTATGCACGCACTGATTTATAAGTGTTTTTATGTTTTATATAATGTATCAACTGCGTCAATTAATCTCTTTTATTTTTAGAATTGATGTTAACAGAAGAAGAAACGAAATCTATACATATAATAAAAATGTAAATAGCAGACGTCTGTACATTTTATATTTTTGTAATAAAAGTGATTCAGAGATACTAAAAATAAGTAATGAAATACATTTCTACTACATTATCTTCGATTAAGAATCAAAATGCAGATGCGTTGTCACCCGTGAGGACTATGATGGAATGCCTCGTTTCCAGTAAAAAGGGTCTCCGGTTCTCTACACTCACCATACGAAACACAGCAGCGTTAAGCTGCTATTTTACGCTGGTATTCTGTGAGAGCGTGGTCCTTCCCCGGTCGAGCCGACCCATTCGTGCTACAACCATAATATAGATGCAGCATGGCTCTACCACGTATGAATGCTTACTATGCACGCACTGATTTATAAGTGTTTTTATGTTTTATATAATGTATCAACTGCGTCAATTAATCTCTTTTATTTTTAGAATTGATGTTAACAGCGTCATCTCTCTTCAAATCTATACATATAATAAACATGGTGATAACATGTTGTGTCTGTTTATGTACATTGTATAGTAGGTATGTTTATGACTAAAATAATTATGGGGACTGAAAATCATTAAATAAGTACATTTTTATATCTTTTAGAATTGTCTGTCTGTCGGTCTGTCTGTTTGATTATGAATACATAACGTTTTGAGTAAATATCATTTTTTAAAAGAAGTTGTTAAGAAAATCATAAAGCGTATATTCGAGTTCACTGTTAATCTTTGTTTTATTAAAATTGGTTAATTCTATCGAAAGTTATGATTCTTATTTTGAAATCTAGGTTCGAATCTGATTAAAGGTGCCATAAAACTCAGAAATAGTAATAAAAAGATTCGTGTGTAAAAAAACGTTCTATTATAATATACTTAAAACACAGTAAACAAAAAATATGTTTTCCTTAAATTAAAAAAAAGATGTTTTCTCACAAAGAACGTAATAGATCGCGTTGTATAAATTACAACTTTTTCTGAATTGCGGTGGTGCCCTTTTTTCCTAAAGGGGGTCGCTTCCGATTCGGCAGGAAGGCCATAATGGTCAACGCCAATCTCACAGGTGGTGTTTAGTGGGTTAACCACGCAGCTGGCTGCCGTGGTATGCTATGAGCATTCACCACCTCCCTTCCCCGCTTCCAGAGGGTAGCCTCGCTTTGGGCGCAAAAGAAAAAAAAATTGCGGTGTTAAGATTTTTCGCTTTTTTTAATCGTACTGAGACTCACTGAAGAAATTTGTACCCATGAGTACGATGACGTTGAAAGAGCCGTGTAGGCTAACAGCACAAACATCACCAGAAACCAGAAAAGAAACACGCCCACCCAAGCTATGCAACAAAACTCAATTAAAATCTAACAAAATTGCAACAAAATGTCGTGATATTTTTTTATACCCAGAATCCCTCTAATCCCAAATAACTTTCCTTTCAGTTTTAAGCGTGTTCAGTTCCCAGTCAGCGTGTGTTATGCGAACACCGTAAATAAAGCGCAAGCTCAAACTTTACGCGTTCCAGGAGTACTAACCTCAGTACTAACTGTTTTGCACATGGCCAACTCTATGTTGCTTTTTCCCGCGTTAGTAGGCCCCATAACCTATTTGTGTACCTGCGCTCCTTCCGTATACTTCTAACGTCGTTTACACAGAAGCTCTATCATAAACGACTTAGAACTTTGAGGATAACGATTTATTTGTTACCACTTATTGATACAGTAATGATATAAATCGTTTAGGTAATATTCTCTTAACTAAACGTCAAATTCTTTAAGTAAAACCTATATACGCGAGCTACGCCGCGGGCACAGCTAGTATAAAATAAAAATATTTGACGGCAAATTATTTATTTATTATGATCATTTTCAACCACAAGTACGGCAAAAATATAATATAAATATTATATTTGTACAAATAAATTATTGTCTGGTATGCAAGTTCGGACGGTTTCTACCCAGCGCCGGTAAAAAACCGGGCCGTGTTAAAACCGTCTCGTGGATAGGAGCCCTTAGGCTATTCTGTCGCTGTATTATATCTCATCCTCTCGCAGGCTAAATCCGATAGATGTATAAGTTTGTCTCTTTTTAGTGTCGCTTTTTCGGTTCATCCAGATTCAAATCACGGCGATGCGAAAGTTTTCACTTCAAAATGCAGTACGTATATAGTACTTATTTAATTAATTTACAACTGTTTTACTTAGATATAATGTCTTATATTTTATACCGTCTCTAAAATAACAGTTAAAAGTCAAAGTTAAAAAAAAATAATTTGCGAATTGTATGTGGTTTTATCACCTCTGCATTATCCGGAGAATAAGAGGATTATGAAAGACCCACCTTCACCGATGCTGTTAGAGGTAATAAAACCACATAAAATCTGCAAATTAACTTTTTTAATTAAAATTAAATTTTTTTATCTTCAAGTTTTTTGAAACAAAGTTATTTCTTTACTTTGATTACTGACTCTGATAACGCACTTAAAGGGAACCACAAGGTTTTTATTACACGTTGTATCATCATCATCATCATCATCATCATTACAGCCTTTCACAAGTCCACTGCTGAACATAAGCCTCCCCCAAGGAATGCCACAAAGCACGGTCCTGAGCCACCTGCATCCATCGACTTGCCACCTGCATGTCTTACCAGGTCGTCACTCCATCTAGTGGGGTGTCGCCCTACACTTCGCCTACCGGTACGAGGCTGCCACTCGAGAACTTTTCTTCCCCATCGGTTGTCGGTTCTTCGAGCTATATGGCCGGCCCACTGCCACTTCAGCTTACTAATCCGTTGGGCTATGTCGGTTACTCTGGTTCTACTGCGGATATCCTCATTTCTATGTTTATCACGCAGAGAAACCCCGAGCATAGCCCTCTCCATAGCTCGCTGAGCGACCTTGAGCTTCCTTATACGGCCAGCAGTGAAGGACCACGTCTCAGATCCGTAAGTCATCACTGGCAACACGCACTGGTTGTACAATTTCGTTTTAAGGTTTTGAGGTATGTCTAACGAGATGTGTCGTAATTTCCCGAACACTGCCCAGCCGAGTTGAATCCGTCGATTGACCTCTCGGTCGAAGTTGGACTTACCTAGTCGGACTATTTGACCCAGGTAAACATACTAGTCAATAACTTCGAGCTTAGTGCTCCCAACAACTACTGGCATAGGTGTGACATGGACGTTAAACAGTCAGTTAGTCCGTTGGTAGACACTATTGAGGTCATTGAGCATAGTGCTTAGGTCCTCCAGCGATTCTGCCATAAGGACTATATCGTCGGCAAATCGAAGGTGAGTGATGTACTCGCCATTGATGTTGATACCACATCCTTTCCAGTCCAGAACCTTGAAAACGTCTTCCAATGCAGCGGTGAAGTTTCGGAGATATAACGTCACCCTGTCTTACACCTCTCTGCAGTTGGATAGGTTTCGTACTCTGATTCTGTACTCGGATAGCCATCGTAGCTCTACTGTACAAACACTTCAGCACTTCGATATACCGACAGTCAACTTGGCACCGCTGAAGGGACTGCAGCACCGCCCAAATTTCGACGAATTCAAAGGCTTTCTCATAGTCCACATACGCAAGGCAAAGTGGCAGATTATACTCCTCTGTCTTCTGTATAATTTGCCGAAGGGTGTGTATGTGGTCTATGTTACTAAAGCCTTTTCGGAAACCGGCTTGTTCAGGAGACTGGAAGTCGTCAAGTCTGCGTGCGAGACGATTCGTAATGACTCTCGAAAACAGCACGTAGACGCGGCTCAGAAGGGAAATCGGTCTGTAGTTCTTCAAGAGAGCGTTGTCGCCTTTCTTGAAGAACAAGACCACCGCACTTCTGCTCCACGCCTCCGGAGTAGTGCCACCATGGAGGACGGAATTAAAGAGCTTTTGAAGGACTTCAAGTACCGGTTTTCCACCCGCTTTCAGAAGCTCCGCTGTAATTCCATCCTCGCCTGGGGCCTTGCCGTTTTTAAGGTGCTGGAGAGCCATTCTAATCTCGCTCAGACTGACGTCCGGGATATCATCTTATTCCGATGTCGAATAAGACTTGCTCTTGGATCGTTACTCACACTTGCGTGCGGCTCCAACGATGACGTGTACAGCTGCCCATAGAACCTCTCAATCTCACTCAAAATCTCAGGTGTCCCGGAAATGATGCTGCCACATTCGGTCTTCAGCTTTGACAGTTGGCTCTTTCTGGCAGACAGATCTCGTACAGACTTTGGAGCCTTGGTTCCGCTCGATCGCTTCTTCAATACAAGCTGTATTGAAGTTGCGAAGTCCCGCCGCATGCATTTGGAGATACGTCTGTTCAGTTGCCTGCATGCTGTCAAATCTGTTTAAGAATGTAACTTCATCTCCCGTCTAACAGCTATGAGCTTAAGTGTGATCGGAGAGTTTTTGTGTTCTTCTGCGGCGGGTCTTGCAAAACTTAGCTCCGACCGCATGGACAGTTTCCACGAGCTTGTCATTCATATCGTCCACTTCACTGCAGTCTTCTAGGCACTGAAAACGGTTTCGTAGCTCGGACTGAAAGGTTTCGGGACTTTGGATTAGAGCACGAAGGGGACGGAGCGTTAACATCATTAGACGTGACCTCTCCAACTTAACGTTTAGGTTCAGTGTGCCTACACCATTCGGTGATCGCTGCCGGTTTTCACCCTCGCGATCACTGAGACATCACTGAACAGTTGTATATATAGCGCGTTAACTTCAGAACTTTCACAGCGCGATTTAGGCTTCGATATGTTTCCATTGTGGCGCGACGACAGCGCCGTGCCGTCACAAACCAAATTTTTGGTACATGTTTTTTTACCTATATGATCTTGGATTACATCAAAGGATAACAAGATAACATGTAACTTTCTCAATCTAAAAGAATTGTAAAGTAGGCTCTAATAAATCACATGGCCTTGAAAAATTTCATTTCTGGACTTGCAGGTTACCTTTTCCTTCACTGGCAAACATGACAAAACATTTAAAGTAGCAATTAAAAGATACCATTTTTGGACATCACACTCGGATTGCCTGCTTGTGCGATACTTAAGACGAGAGAGCCCTACTGCTGAGCTACCATAACTAGAAATAAATATATTACTAATATTCTAAACTTAAATACAGAATACACTTTGTGCATCATATGATATGACGATGGCAATGAAAAAGAAACTATAATACAGTTACAATAAATTCTTTATTTATCTACAATAGCATATTAACAATATGTCACTTGATCGCTAAATACATCTAACTGCACCAGGAGAAATAAAAAAACTGTCTCAATCCTTATAGTCGTCACCCACTCTGTTGTAAATATCGTCACCAACCTGTTTCTGGAGACGCAAATATTTGTTGACCATTGGTCTGTAATAATAGGCCTGGTAATCTTGACGTTCAGACATTTTCTTGATTATTTCCTTCTCCAATGCACGGAGTTTCGCTTTTTGCTGTTCTTCATCAATGAAGTGCATAAATTTTTCATAATCCTGTAAAAAAAATTAAAACAATTACTATAAAGTACAACTTCATTGTTAACTGTGTTTTATTAATGTATGAAAGGTTAAAGCCCTTTCATACCCTTGTGAATATTTAAATTGTTTTTTATACAAGAAAATCTGACAAAAAAATGCACGGTACATTTTATTATAAATGAATCTTGTAGCACATTTTTTTTTAATATTAGCCTATTAAAAGTTCACTGATGAGTATAGGCCTCCCCATTAACCTCAAAGGAGGGATTTTACCGTAGTCGTCTCGCTTGGCACTGGGTTGGCAATTGCAGTTTTTTTTTAAATATTTTAAGTTGTTATCAGAAAATGCTGCTACCCATCTTCTGTTTAAGTTCCCCTCAGTTGCTTCTTATAACATCCATTAATGATAAGAGATAGTGGATATTCTTATGCCACCTGTAAACAGCAACACCTATTACATATACCTATTTTTATTCATAGATAAAGGGCTTTGTCGCTGATGCGATTATGCCGCCCTGGTAGTAAAAAAAAATCTTAAATATTAATTACTAACAAATAAAATTATTATACTTACTAGTTACTTAATCTCTTATTAACTAATAAATACAGTTTTTTGGCATCATCTGATAACGGGTCTGATAAAATACTATTACTACTACCAATTAAGGACAAATGTAAATTACAATTTGCTCTTTCTCTTGAGTTCTGGGCACATTCTATCAAAATGTGATAAACATCATCGATAATATTATAAGATGAACAATTTGGATATTACAAGATGAACAATTTGGTGTGGTAATTTTTCGCATCAAGTATGAAAATTTATTGCATGGAATGTGTCCAGATCTGAGTCTATATATACCTATACCTGTACACCTCAATCATAATTAATAAATATGCAGATGCATTTCATCCCTAGAACTAAAACTAAATGCCTCTTAACCTTCAATATTCTCCAGTTCTTGTGACTGGACACTCCAGGAATTCACAATCATTAACTAATGCCAAGACAGCCTATGCGATTGTATCAGTTATCATAGACCATAAATCCTCACAAAAAAAAACAACTCCAACCGAACAAGAATGATTTACAAAGTAAATGATGTTAAAAAATTCTAAATTCAATACTTGTACGCACATATTATGCTTGTGGAGTCTTATAATAATAAAATATTGCTCATAAAATATTAAATCAGGATGTCAAGTATCAGAAATTTTAAAGTTAAATAAAAATAAAATGTATCACATTCTGAATCTGTTAAAAATGTTTTCTCAATGTGTTATATGAGTATAAGAAATCATTATGGATTGTACAATGGCAATGGATACATTTATTTATTATATAACATTGAAAAATATACAATATTAAAAACTATCATTAAAAAAACTAATAACTTTAATTATCATACACTCCACATAGTATAGTGCCAAGAATGCTGGCTGCGTTTCCCACAGACCTACAGTCTCTACAGCATAAATATGTAGTCATCTCTCGGAGACTCATATTTGGGATATGGATTTAGAATCGTTTGGCACGAATTTGGCGGAGTAAGGTGTTTTATTTGGTAGAGGTTTCACCCCCGATTATAATAATACCACTCACATTAAAAGGTAATGCATCGTTATCGAAAAATAAATAAAAACTATTATAACCTAAAATGCGTAAAACATGGAAAAATTACTGTGAAAGCTGGATAGTATACAGAATTTTGTGTAAGTGCGATAAGGACGTAAGACTAGTGTCACATTATTCTACTGTCTACACTCTCTGTCAAGAGTTATTTCACTAAAGATAACTATAATAATGGAGAAAATTTTACCAACTTGGTATATGAATATTTATGGAGAAGAGAAATTATAAGGAATATAACAGATCCTTTTGAGGAATTAATAAAAAAAATATATTTACAGACAATAAAGAAATGATTATAATATACTGTTTTATTTCTAAATTATTTAAAACTGCCCAGAAATACTTGAACACCCAGAAATAATTTCAGTTGTAATAGGTTAGAAGGTTGTGGCGGGAGCGAAGGCAACCTGACTTTATAGATAAGATATCTGATCTGATCGAATCTGTACTAAAATTAAACCAGCACGCCCCGACTCCACGTAGTCTTGTCTGCCCTACCCCTAGTGTTTTTGTAAATTTGTTGGCGCGGAGGGAGAGTAGCCCGTGCCCGCAAATCACAGGCACCCGTGCGAACTGTAGCGGCTGAGGTTGGTCCAATAAGCCAAAGCTGCGGAGGTAAGCATGAGTGCCTGTGATTCGCTACGCAAGGGCGAAGGGGCTGCACTTCCCGCAGCGCCGAAGCCGTTGTAGAAGTAAATTTGGGTCAATATTCCTGTGTAATAAAGTGAGGTTATAATTTTACAAAAAAAACATTACTCATAAACTATACTTTTCCTCAACGAGGGAAAGATAGAGCGGCTTTCCCTTATAGAGCACACTCCTGCTACCCTCTTCCCCCCTCCTGCCGGAAACGATAAATGTTACTTTCAGGTTAGGTCTATGGGATTTTCTTTTTGATTTTTCTCAAGAACGGTATATTACCTTTTAATGGGAGTGGTGTAGGTAGTAAGGGGACACTCCCCCCCTATCTCTCCCCTCAACCACTGCCCACTCCTCCTGCCAAATGATTCTAAATTTCAACCAGCTGCCAAAGTATCTACGCAAGTAGCATCCCATACTAGGGCTTTACCTCTTTACTCTCTTTTTTTTATTAATTAGAAATGATGAATGTATTTGATTGATGGTAAGTAACTACTGCAGTCCAACTTGGCACTCTACTACTTATCTTCACTATGCTGGAGATTTATGGAGCAATATGGGGGTCCGCTCTACACTATGCTTACAGGTACTAGGCTGCCACTCCAGAAACTTTCTTCAAAATTTGATATAGTAGTTATTAGTTATACATTTTCATTGGAACATAAAATATGCAGGCTATGATTTCATAGTAAAAGCCAACATAAACTTTTCACTGTTTAAAGAATATTTTTTTTATTCAACCTGCAGTTTGTGGCTCAAAACAAAAACATAGTCGGCCACACACTCTACTATATCAGACTTACCATTTACTTGTGTTAAAAAATCAAGGCTTAATACTTCAAAATAAAAACTCAGAAATATTTGTTAAGTAAGTGATATTAAACCCACTCCTAAATTATTATAATAAACCTTTTTAACACTTTACCTGCTGAGGATTGTTGTGAATATAGCGTGCAATGAATCTAGTTATTGGGTGACGATGATACTCCCAGTGTTTCGGGGTGTAGCCCTCAGGTATAGGTTCTAATTCTGCTGGGCCAATGAATACGTTCGCATAGAAGATGATCGCAGTTACTGGAATTAAACCGACCATAGCATAGTAATGGAACATATCCTTAAATTTGTGCCATTGCCACCTGCAACATCATTCATTGGGCAATTATAACAAAATTAACGTTATACCAATATAATACACCTTAAATATGTCAAGCATAATCATGAAAATTGGTTAGGTAATCATGCGACAAGTAAGACTTTATTACCTAGATGGCTGAAGTGCCATTACTTTATGGCCGTGGTCGCCATTAAGAATTTTACTTGCAGAAAAATTTACATTGTGAGCTTTTAATGGCGGTTTTGTTTGGTTTTTTAATAAATTAATGCCGAAGGATCGGCCCAAAGCACTCCAGGACACCATTTTTCTATAAAATATTTATTGGTTGTGTGTGACAGTGACAGCATAACAGCTGACAGACAGTTTGAGCAACCCAAAAACCGACATTACTGTTGCCAGGTCAAGTCTGAAAATATTTGGAAAATATCGGTAGAAATTACCTAAAAATTCTCGGTTTCTCGACTTTCTTCGTCAGAAAAAAATCAAATCAAAAACAAAAATGTAGCAGATTTTTTATTTTAACAGAATAAAGCATACTAACCAACTTTTTAACTACCTCTTCCATTATCTAGAATTGTAAATGAATTACACATCCAATCTAATTACAATAAAAAATCAACGTTACAACGGTTTAGTAATAAAATTAGTAGTTATGTAGCAGCTATTTTTGGCACGATACCGCTGCAAGTGCTGTATGATAATTTAAGTATTTTTGCTTTAGTTTTTTAAAATATAGTTACTATAAAAATACAAATTACAAAGTAAATTAATAAATATTCTAAAAATGATTAATCATTATCTAAATTCATTATGTAAATCGTTATATAAAATATATTAAAATTTAAAAAAAAAACTTGGTTCCTAAAAACCTTTTTCATTATAACAGCAATATGTTTGATAGTCCGTATGAATAAAGAATGCGATTTATAGAAATGGCGGCTCATTGGGCCCGTACCGCCAAAATGCACAGTACCAATAGGGAAAACCCGCTAATAATATTAACTTTATATTATTCATTTAATTTGAAATCTTCTATTAGTGGGAAAATATTTGATAAGAATTGTATATGTACCCAAGTAGGTATATTAATTTTGAAGTAACATTTATAATTAGCGACCCACTGTCGATTCACCTGGGTGGGCTCTATTAATATGGCGTTTGTTAGATGGATAAGATAATCATTATAGACCATTTATGTTACATATCTTATCAATGTTTCTATTCTAATAAAATATCTAAATTCTTCGGAGAAAATATTTTATACAAAAATATTAACAAAAAAATCATCAATCATTATGAAAAAAACTCTCAGAAAGCGTCTAGCTCAGAAATAGCTCATAAATAAAATCCAGACTATTTTTTGTAGTTTATACATTTTGTTATCATTGATTCCAATGACAAGTTAGACTGAAGATATGAAAAACGCATATCGCAACGTTTTTTTTTTTTTGCAGTCTTTACTGGCGGATGTGAGTATATATAACGATTAGCGACAGTATGCGAGCGAGAGGTGAATAGAGTTGAGCCATTTTCAATCCAATTCTCCAAAGAGGAACAACTTCAGAATATCTACTTTTTTTACTACCAATACATTTCTCACTTTTGTTTTGAGGTTTTTTGTTAGATTTTACAAATGTTTCTAGACTTACCTCTAGTATTTCGTTTTATTATTGATATAAAAAATCAGATTTTCATCAAATTCAGTAGACAATACTTAAAAATAAATCACAGTCAAAGTTGAATTTCAATAGTTGATTTTATTGTAACTGTGATAAAGACATATTTCTTTAAAAATTTAAAAATCAGTAGAACTGGCAGCACTGTAGGAAATGCTGCCATAATTTGTTTTAAAAACTGCCTAATAAGAACTTAAAAATGCTAAAATAATTCCAAATGCCAACATGACTAAATAATTATATAGAACCACGGGGATCAAATAAACAAATACATTGTTTGCTCTCCCGTACTTTTATTAGCAATCAAACATCTTATTACTTGAAATCAAAAATTATATGAGTGCATGTCCTCTGCTGGACGCGGGCCTTGTACGTTGTGTAGTGGCGGTGTAAGAGAGTAGCAAGTAAACCTCGGCTTGTCCGAGTTAACTTGGTATTGCCCACGATATTTGGGTAAAGTCCGAAGAAGTTATATTTTATGTAAATATCTAGATTTTACATAAAATATAACTGTAACTTTTGTAACTATTTAGATTATATAGATTTGGGGTGGCTCTAGGACCACTTCAAGCGTACATTAGCTACTAGCCTTTTAACAGTACAACTTTGCTTCTTACTTGCTTACTTACAATATTGTTTTTTCCGTGTGCCGGTTATTTATTTTACGCATAAGACATATACTCGTACGAGTACATATTATCATAAGTTGCCTCAAGATTATAATATATCGATGGATTTTTTTTTATAGGATAAGGGTGACAAACGAGCACACAGTCCACCTGATGGTAAGTGTTTGCTGTGGCCCATAGACATCTACATCTATCTTCGATTAAAAATCAAAATGCAGATGCGTTGTCACCCATGAGGACTAAGATGGAATGTCTCGTTTCCAGTAAAAAGGGTCTCCGGTTCTCTACACTCACCATACGAAACACAGCAGCGTTAAGCTACTATTTTACGCTGGTATTCTGTGAGAGCGTAGTCCTTCCCCGGTCGAGCCGACCCATTCGTGCTACAACCATAATATAGCTGCAGCGTGGTTCTACCACGTAGAAAATTATATCATTTATCGAGAACCGATTTTGTTTAATAGTTACCGGAATACATTGAAAGGGACACAATAATAAGAAGGGACCCCTTAGAACAATAGATCTTTTTTTTATAACTGGCTTTACGGCTCTGGGTTCTAGCCCTTCTGAGCCTGAAGTTACAATGTATAATTATCATTTTAGTATACAATGTATTTATGCATTAGTGTATTAGTATGCAATGTATATATATATATATATATATATATATATATATATATATATATATATAAGTACACTGCTTCACAACATGTTAATGCTTTACACTGTGCAGCTCTTGGGAGATTTTGACGGCAACTTGAGCCAGCAGACAGCTGACAGTTGGCGATGGTATATCAAGGCGCCTATGCAGACAGACACCTTATCTTGAGAATCACATCACTATCACTGCACTTGTTTCACCGTTTCCACTAATAGTTCACATGCGCAGACATTTAATACACAAAGTCGCACCACTTTTACATATCAAAATCCACCTCAAACCATTATTTAAACAATAATACAGGAGCAGCAATCCGTCGCCGGTCAAATTCCCGCCAAAACTCCCTACAATAGATCAAAGTGTTAAGAGCTTAGCGTACAAATAAGCATGGTATAGAGCGCGCGTAATTCCGATTATGCCAAGCGTAACCAGATAATCTATAGATACTGATACATAGTTGAGAGTGGTTGAATAGTGATGCGCTAAGATTGACGCCTGTGCGTTATTGTACTTAAGTTATTATTATGAAGAGTCTGAATGTGTCAAATAAGGCACGTATAGCAATTCATAATGCTGTGTTAGTCCCTACTTTAATGTATGGTAGTGAAAGTTGGGTCTGGCAGAAGAAGCATGAGAGTAGAATAAATGCTGTAGAAATGCGGTCATTAAGGAGTATGCTAGGGCTGAATCTGAATGACAGGGTGAGAAATAGTGTGATAAGAGAATAGTGTGGTTTGCAAGATGACGTTGTGACCAGGATTAAAAAAGGAATGCTTTGGTGGTTTGGTCATGTAGAAGGAATGAAGGAGGAAAGAGTGACAAAGCAAATTTATGTTGCAGAAGTGAACGGCAGAGTCAGGAAAGGACGCCCTAGACGAAGGTTTATCGACCAAATCGGCGATACATCGAAAATGGGCCAGATTAGGAGTACCCTTAACCGACGAGCGTGTATGCGTACCAAATGGAAGTCCGTAGTCTCTGCCTACCCCTCTGGGTGAAAGGCGAGAGTGTTTGTGTTATTAATTTGATTATGTAATTATTTGTAAATATTAGGTAAGCGATAATTATAAGGTATGTTTTAGCTCAATAAAACAAAAACACAAAAATCTAATTAATTTACTCCCCCTTAAAAACCTTAAACCTTAAAAATTATACAGGCTTACTGGAAACTCGACAACTTCCTGGCAGGGCATGATAGGGAGTCACAATGCTACAAATTTGACCCACCATATGTATGGCCGAAAATGAACAGGTCTTGAGATATACTGATTTTAAATTTTTTTCAATAATCACCCAGAATTTCGTATTAAATTCTAAATGAAAAGAAAACCTTTTTTTTGTAGGCTTTCCTTTAAGTTTATTTATTTTCTTGAAGCTTCAACCAAGCGAATACAATCATAAAAAGTACAAAAACATTCACAATAAAAAAAAACTATGGGTTTTAATAAAAAAAAAATCTATTTCTACACTTTATGTAGGTATCATAAAATGTGACGTACTTCAAAAAACACTATGTCATGAAACATAAAATATTTTAAAAATAATCAATATATAAAAAATATACTACTGAAATAAAACCTAATACTAAATCTAAAATGCATATATAAAGTCACGTTATAATTATCCAACTTTATCAACGTGACAAAGTCACTATGATTTTTCATTGTGACTTTTTGGTAACCGGAACGACTGTCACGGTAGTTTAAAAATAACACTTTTCTCTAAGTCTAGTCGCATCTTACGAGACCCACGGGATGATATGGATATTCATACACCACCACTACACGGTAATTGATAACTTATCAAAACATTTTATTTATGGACAACGTCTTGCAATCGTCGTTTCTAGCGCTCAATTGACCTTCATACAAATAATGTAATATTTTAATTGTTGATAATTTAATGATTTCTTATATTTACGCGAAGACGACAGATTAAATGAAACAAATTTTACGGATTTTACCGCGTTTAATTTAACTTTTTAATTCCCGACGTTGGTCACGGTAGGGATGGGGGCGGGGTGAACTGAGGTGTTTGGAATATTAATTTTTGGTCCGATCTACGCAGAATGAGCTTAGAGTATCTTGAACTCTTGCAGTGGTATCCTTGGGTTTGGATTTAATTTTATTAATTATAGGATCCCAAGCAGATGGCAGCACCAATCCATCTTCTCTATTGAAATTAGGATGTTTTTTAATTTTAATAGCCTCACGAAATGTTGATAATTTTTATTTTTGGATAAGAACATAGTAATGACTCTTAAGTTATATTTACCTTCATTTAAAACTAATTTACTCTTAGGCTTGACCATAGGTTTGACTAAGTTGGTGGTGGCTAATGTCGACGCATAGATTACTGTATACAAGATGTCCCAGTATTGGTGGATAATCTGGTACGTGCGTGTTCGGGCGGGGTGGAGGTGGCCTCGGTTCCCTAAAAAAAAATTCTATCCCGAACGGTTCGCACTCTACGCCATGTTTGTGGACATCACGTTCGCAGTTTAATGACTAGATCGGATTTTTTTCTTTTAATATGTTCCCTAATAATGATGTTTCCAAATTACCCTTAAAAGTTTTCACCTACTATAAGTAGTATTTTACAAGACGGCACTAAACATAAGTTTTAATATTTTACTTTATTAAACTGCTAAGTTTGAGCATCTGTGGTGAAAGAAAAACGTATGGGATCTGTGTGGCCAACCATTTAAAAAGTTTGCTTACATCATGAGGATTCTAAAACAGTATAATACAGTATATCGACGCCTGAGTCACAGACTGATATGATGCTTACGCATGGTCTGAGTGATTAATGACAAATCTCTATGAATGTAATAAACCTATTTAATTACGCTGCATACATTGTTAATATCATTGTATTGTTAATACCATTGTATAATTATTTTTGATAGGAATTATTATTTACATTTATTACATTAAATTATTTCATGTTGTGATACATTAATTAGTAGATATTATATGTTTTTGTAATAACTTATTATTTATCTGTTAATAGCTATTCTTCTTTTTTTTCATATTTGTACACCAACTATGGTCAAACATGTTGATCCAAAATTACAATTTTCAGACTAATAATAAACATGAAATGTATTAATAGAATTAATAGAATCAGGGGGTACTTTGCGGAAATCCATTATATTAAAGCTTTTAAAAAGTTACTTCGCATACATACGCTCTATAAGATTTTATAGAGCGGATGTTTGCGAAGGAACTTTTTAAAAGCTTTAATATGAAATGTATTATTATCTACACATGTTTTTGCAAATAAATATATCGTTATCTTTATATCTGTATCTTTACATTACCCTCCTTTTGCTGCTCCGCCACAGTTAGATTAAAGGACTGCTTCCAAGAGATATACTGTCATAGAATGCCTTGTAGCCTTAAATTATTAATAGGTCATCGTCATCGCGCGCCTGAGCGCGCGAATACCATTCAATAATCTAAGCTGTAGCATTAAGTAAGCTTTTGACAGGGTTTTGTACTAATAAACTTATAATAGATGTAAAAAAACACAGATTGTGTCTATTATGGTTATTCTCTTTGGTTACTTGAAAATAGGTGTTTCCCCTACAACAAAAACCCATGTCTAGAACACGGGCTGACGAAAAGAATAGTTATAAATTGTAAATGCATAATGATAAATTATATCCAAGAAAGTACTTCATCGCACTTAAGTATTTGGAAATAAGCTCTGCACTCTATACTTTCACTATTCTGAACGATCCTTGTGCTCCTGATAACTTGAAATTTAAATGTCAATACCTAGGAGATTCTCATAATTATGTAATTATTTCTCCGTTCTTCGTATAATCTGAAGTTGCTAACGCCTTTCCGACTATAATACTCTGATACGAAATACCTCTTGACATTAAAAAAGCTTCCAACAAGTTTCTTTTTAAAAACAAAAGTTCGTGAACACTTTATATATATATAAAGTGTTATATATTATATAAGGGTTCATGCTTCCTTATCGCTTTTTTATTCTTAGTTTATTTTTGCTGCATTACCTCCCTTATGTTTATCTCTACTTAGCCTAATGGTTGACTCAAATGTATTTACTACTTTTTTGTACATAAAAGTTTGAATAAATAAAATAAATAATATATTGTACATATTTATTTAGGATTATGAGAAACTAGACATTATTAATTTGCACACGCACTCAACAAAAAATTCGTTATTGTTATCATAATAATATCTTACAACCTGTTGATTCTATTCTGTTGGAAAAGCGTAAAAATTACACAGAACCAAAGTATTGATTTTCACACCGAGCATGCTCACGGATACGTGCGATACGAGCCCAGCTACTGATAACTGCGCATCAAACGCTAGCAAACACCCACTTAAGTTCTAACAAAACGGTGTTAGATTGTTAATTGTGAGAAATTATAATATATATATTACGGTAAAATTACTAAACCTATTAAGTGTAAAAGATTTTCCTTTTGTGATTTACGACCAAAAAGCATATTGAAAGTGAGTAACAAATATGTTTTGTCTCCACGGTTGATATGGAGGAACTTTTACAAGAGATTTTCAAAGAAGCTACAGGGCCCAAGTTATTGACGCTGAAGAAGTCATGTCAGGATGCATTAGGTGGGTAAAAGATATTAATAATAGATGTACTATATAAGGTATATTAATTGGATTATTTGTTAAATTAGTAGTTAAATGAAAATAAATAAAATAGAATTTTTACTTTTTTCACTTCTTCATTATAACAATATTACCAAGATGTAGGAACTTTACATTGTTCTAGGGACTTTATTTTCAAATGATATTTATGATTTTCTGTTCATCCATCCATCACAGCCTAAAAAAGTTCGCTGCTGAACAAAACAGAGCCCTCACCATAGACTGCCCCTTATGCCCATATGAGATATTGCCATAGTTGCCACGTTTGGCAGGTGGGTTGATAAATGCAGTTTTTAATTTTCTAGTTGTTATTTTGTCAGTTGTTGGCTCATCTCCTGATTTCCTTCCCACTGTCGCTTTTTACGACGCCCGCAGTACTATATAGGGTAATGGATATGCTTACACTGCCACTACACGGTCAACGGACAAATGATATTACGTGGTTACGTGGTAGTCCATGCTGCAGCTATATTAGTAATATAGTTGTAGCACGAATGGGTCGGCTCGACTGGAAAAGGACCACGATCTCACAGAATACTAACATAAAATAATGTAGAGAACCGGAGACCCTTTTTACTGGAAAAGAGGCATTCCATCTTAGTTCTCACGGGTAACAACGCCTCTGGATTTTGATTCTTTATTGAGAATAGATGTAGATGTCTATGGGTCACAGCAACCACTTACCATCAGATGGAATGTGTGTTCATTTGTCACCCTATCCTATAAAAAAATTTGTGAATATTCTTTTGATTCCTAAAAAAAATTAAGTCCATATAAATATAGTATAAAATAAACCATATTTAAATCCACTCCAGATCCATTCTTGTTGGAATATATATTTTTATTATAATAATAATAATGTCAATACACGGACGTTAAAAAAATACGGACGTAATGATTGAAAACGTGTGAAGCACCCTACGTTCTATAATTTTGGCAGGCAGCAAAGGGAGTGCATTGAAACTGTGGAGACACGACAAAGGTTTTTTTTTAGCGGTAAACGCGCAAACTTGTGTCTTCTGGGGATTAGATTTAGTCGCCCCCGATTATAAAATATATTGTTTCTATACTTAAGTGTATTCATTCATATATTCATAAAGTATCAAAAACACGGGTGAAGTTCGTGCGTGGCATTATAATGTCTTCATGCGTTTATGCGCCAACTAGGTTTGCAATTGCCATAAAAAATAAATTCACTTGATATTTTTTTAAAGACGTCTTTAGGAAATGCGTCACCATAGATTGCGATGCGTCACTTAAAATCTTACAGTCCTTATTACAGATTTAAGCATAATTTTATCCATACGCAACTAACATTGCTTCTCGTTTTAAATATATTATTAGCAATAATTTTTGCTTTCTATGTTACCTATTTACTATTTACTTTGTCGAATTTCAGAAGTAATGTTTTTATAGATGTAAGATGACAAAGAAGTACACAGACCACCTGATGGTAAGTATGGTAAGTAAGATGTAACCCACAGACTTCTATTCTCAATTAAGAATTAAAAAAATTGTTTTATCACCTTTGAGGACTACACACCAAGTAAAAAGCGTCTCCAGCTCTCGTAACTCACCATACAAAACATAGCAGCATTATGGTGCTATTTTACGCTGGTATTCTGTGCAAGCGTGGTCCTTCCCCGGTCGAGCCGATCCATTCTCCCCTCGGTCATATATAGGTGTCTATGGGCCATGTCATCTTCACTTATCATCAGATATACTGTGTGCTCGTTTGTCACCCTTAAACAAGAAAAATATCAGCAATCTAAACTAATTTTTTTTTTGCTTTGGCTTCCATTCAAATCGAGCACCTATGATGTAGTAATCAAGAGAATTGAGAAACAGCAGAGGAAGTGTTCGGTCAAATTCCAGTCGTCAAATTTCACCATCGCACATCGCGACAATTTCGCGATACCATTTGGATGATTGGCAGTCCACCTCTGTGGAATTTTCCAGAAGTTTTCTTCTTCGCACAACTTTTTTACCGTTACCGTTATGCTTATTAAAATAGGCTACTCTTTTTTTAATCATTTAAAATAAAAAAATTTGTACAGCCGACTTCAATATAAGTTATTAAGAATAACTCAAAAACTATTGGTCTGACCTTGATCAAATTCATATGAGACCACGCGAGAAGTACCAACTTTCAAATAAACAAGAATCATCCAAATCGGTTCACCCAGTAAAAAGTTATGAGATAACACACATAAAAAAAACATACAGTCGAATTGAGCACCGTCTCCTTTTTGGAAGTCGACAGAAAATGTATCTCAAGCGATCTTCTACTCGTATATTTTCTGCTTGTCCATCAATAAAATCCAATTCTGATAAATAAAATTATATTTATTTTCAAAGTGATTACAATTGATTATTATTAAATGTAATTCAGTTTAAAAAAAAGGTTATAAAAAGTTTATTTCCTTTAGCTCTTCGGGTAGATAGTCCAATTTCTTTTCAACTTCGTAGGGCAGATTCAACGTGGAAATTTTCAAGTGTATGCTTTTAGCATACACTTGAAAATTGGGACATACCTGCAATCAAGGATTACAATATGGCAAAAGTTCACATTGATCACACGTTTCTAAAAAAATTTTAATTCTCACCTTCGAATTTCGCCATCGCACATTGCGACATCATTTGAAATTCCAATCCATCCATCTTTATACGTCTATATAAATAAAAATGTGAATAAAAAAGTGTTCTTTTGTACAAAATCTTAAATCTCCGAAAGTTTTTACCAATTGTTTTAAAATTTCGACACAACGCAACGTTGCAATCGAATACGCGCGTTTTTAGGGTTTCGTATATACACAACAAGGAACCCTTATAGTTTCGCCATGTCCGTACGTCCGTCCGTCCGTCCGCGGTTTTCTTCAGAGACCCTAGGTGCTACAAATATGTAATTTGGCATATTATTCACGCATAGAAAACTGTGAAATAAAATCTTAAAAAATATTTTTATTTTGGGTACTTCCTCAAGTAAATCCAGGATGATTTTTTTACCCGTCTATTCCATCATGTGAGGTATCGTTGGATAGGTCTTTTAAAACGATGTGGAACAACATCTTTTCGATTCAAGGGTCCGTTTGCGAAATATTTAGCTTTATAGTGGCATTTTTCATTAGAGTCATGTGCCCCCTCCCCCCCCCCCTTCTACCAACTAAACCGTTGTTTTTGGAAATGTGAAAAGTATACACAATAGTAGTATATTATATAATGAAGTTAAAAGGAAAACTACCACAGCTAAGTAGGATTAAGAAGTTACGAGTAATAGTCGACCAACTTATAAAATGCACTTGCATTAGTAAAAATTCGTTACAACTCCAAAGAAAATGATCTAAAACTAGCTGCATTAATAACTTTGTAATGTTAAAAATAAACATTTTATGAAAACTGTTAAAATTAAACATTTTATGAAGAAAACGATTTATATGCATTACTACTATTAGCTTTACTTTTTCATTTGCTGGATAGATAGGGTATTATTATCAAAATCGAAAAGTTCTCTCAAATATTATATTTAAATCTTTTTTGAATACCACTCCCTATAAGGCTGATTTGAAAATAAGTCATTCAGTTACGATCTTCCTATTTGGGCCCATTTTCAGTCGTTCAAACCGCGGTCAAACCGCGAACTCACTTATTATGCTCATTATCAAGAAAGCCCACGTATTGTGACGGACAACTACGGAAACCTACCTATACATTGTGCGTGGCTCGACACGCACTTGGCCAGTTTTTATTTACCATTATAATATATACTTGTCAATGAACTTTTTGCGCATCTACAACGCATGATCGGGTACATATACAGTAATTAGTATAATAATAAAATTGGATTATGTCGAAACTGCTAAGAGTAAGATCTGATCTAACTTAATAAGCGATTATTTAAATATTAAATACGATTTATAATAGATATTGATAACGGGTTCCTTATATTAGAATTTGTGGCATTACAATATCTCAATAAATAAAAGAGCCGTGGTAACTCAGATGGTTAGCTCTCAGTCGCTATAAATTTCTCAGTACTCGAGCAACCCGGGTTTGATCCCCGCCGGCACCAATCAAATTGTTAATTGCAATTTTAAGTGCTGATTTACCACGTGCTCGGCGGTGAAGGAAAACATCGTGAGAAAGCCTGCATGTCTGAGAAATAAGAAAAAAATCAAAGACATGTGAACTTCGCAAACACGCATTGGGGCAACGTGGCGGACATTTCCTTGCCCTAAAACTCTCTCAGAAATGAGAGGAGGCCTGTGCTAAGCAGTGGGACGTACATAGGCTGTAACTTTAACTTATAACTTTAATATCTCAATATCTACAGCACAGTTGACTGCTATTAATCATTCAAAAGTTAGACACTGTGGAAGTAAACCAGTCAGGAGGACTTCATCATCTTTATTATCATCATTAAATAAAACGTTAATTTGCAGAGGTGCTGTGCGTCCAAGAAAGCAACGCCCGCCGTCCATCGTACGAGCTGCGGCGGGTGTGCCTCCTGCCGCTTCAGATCGCCCTCGAGACCAAGCGGCCCCGCCTCGTCACTTACGCTCTCCAGGGTTTCCATGTGATTAAATTGTATTGAATAATTTTTACGAGGAGCCGTGGTAGCTCAGATGGTTAGCGCTCGCTGTAAGTTTCACAGTACGCGAGCAACACGGGTTCGATCCCCGCAGGCACCAATAAAATTTTTAATTGCAATTTTAAGTGCTCGGCGGTGAATGAAAACGTCGTGAGGAAACCCGCATGTCTGAGAAATAAGAAAAAAATATTTCGAAGACATGTGAAGTTCGTCTTCATGCATTGGTGCAGCACGGCGGACATTTCCTTGGCCTAAACCCCTCTCAGAAATGACAGGAGGCCTTGCTCAGAAAAGGGACGTATATAACCTGTAACTTTAATTTTTACGTTATTTTACAACTTTACAAAGAAAGGTATATAAGATTGCGACCATGGATTGAAATCTGTAAATGTCCTCAACATCCATATAATGATATTTAAAAAAATTTATTCTATTAAATACCATCGTTATTAATAGATCCTAACGTTATCTTTTACAATTTTTAGAAAATACTACGCGACGATCGGTTTCATAGAGGAATTGAACCAGAAGACGATTCATTATGGATGCCATCACAACTTCTATGCGCTACGGCTTCAGTCATGTATCATTCACCAGATACACAGGTACGTATTCCAGATACATACGATCCTATTGTTATTAGGTCTTTACCTATAAAATTGCCGTTATTTATGAAATAAGTTAAGGTGATTTTTTTCTATATTTTTTATTAATATTAATCAAAGTAATGCAACATACAATTCATGCAATCGATGCATCTTTGCCAACGAAGTGGCAGTTTATATGTTATAAAGCAGCGGGCACGAGTGATTGCCCAAAGCCGGTTGGATACATGCGAGCTTCTCCATCATTGTGTTCAGTTCTTCACAGTACACATCTGCAGTAATGCTCATCCTGTTCGGTAAGAAGCTGCGATGGATCACACCGGCGCTAGACCACCGAACAGTGACCATCATTTTTCTAGCGATAAGTGTTCGTTTAGGGTATTGTTTAGGAGCTGAAACATGATCCAACCGACTTTCTGAGCGCTTGCGATTGTCAAACAAAATCCATTTTATGTTGCAGGTAACAATGCTGTTCAAAATTCCTTTGTTTGTGTACCTGTTGAACAGTGCAAGACACGTTTCAACGCGTACTTCGCGCTGGCGATCATTGAATTCGTGGGGCACCCATTTGCTTGTCAAGCTTTTTTACCTTGCCAACTTGACGCAAATGAACCAATATTGTTGTGATGCTAACATCGAAAGCTGCTGTTAATTCAGCCGTAGATTGAATATTATCATCTTCCACAACCGTCTTTAATTCGTCATTGTTGACCAAAATTCTCGGACGACCACGGTCTTCATTTTTCAAGTCGAAATTTCCAGAACGGAAGCAGGCAAACCAATAATAGGTGGTGCGTTGATATTGCGTGCCGCTTGTGCCGCGTTGCTGCCACGATGGTACTCATATTCCATAATTACTCAAATTTTAACGCTAATCAATTAATAAATGACTAATTTTGAAATAGGAATTCCATGATTTTAAAATAAAATTAATTTGAAATTAGAATTTTTAATCCATGCCAAACAAAAATTATTTTGATTTGAAATGGCTAGTACTGCAGAACGGCAATTTCATAGGTAAATACCTATTATTATTCACTTTTGGTAAGCCATACAACCCCATACATACTGTGATGTTGCTGTGTAAGAATATCCACTAAGTCGTATCGTCCCGTGGGTGTCGTTAGAAGCGTCAGAGTTAAACAAACTAGGAGATGGGCAGCAGCGTCTTTTTAATAAGAACTTAAAAAATAAAAAAAAACTGCAGTTGCCAAACCGCCTGGCAACCGTGGCAACTATAAAATATCCCATCTACGAGACAATCTATGAGGGAGGCCTATTCTCAGCTGTGTACTTTCGATAGGCTGCAAACGGTAACGGTAACACAGGTACCTATCGAAAGTTGACAGCGCGCAACCTGATGGCGTCATGACGTCACGCATTGATCCCACACTGAAACGTTTGCTACTTCTAACGGTTCTAAGCGACCAATCGCGGAACGCGGTCGGCAGAAGTGGAAAAGGTCTGGAAATCGACAAATTTTCTACATGCGGCTTATAACTTTGCTTATTAGTTACGTCGTACTCGTATATATACGTTTATTAATAAAACGACTCGGGCAGATGACTGTGTTATAATGTTTCTTGGCTTTTCGTTTGCAGGTTCAAATATTCCGTATGTACCTGTCGCTGGCGCTGTCGCCGAGGCGCACACTGAACGGGCGGCTGTGCGTGTGGGCTTGCGGGCGCTGCGGCGAGGCAGCAGGCGCGGCGCCGCAAGTTGCCGCAGCCGCTCGTGCCGCGGCCGCACAGGCGCTTAGAGCCTACTGCGCACAGCTAGGTAACAATCTTAGTTCTGTTTCTTAGGACAGACTCTTTAACAGTGGTAGAGCCACGCGGCAGCTTTTGCTATCGCACGGATGGGCCGGCTCGAACCGGGGTGGTACCACGACCTCACAAAAAACCAGCGTGAAGTAGAGGTTTACCTCTGCGTTTCGCTTGGTGAGTGCAGGTGGCCGGAGGCCCTCTTTACTGGAAATGAGGCATTCCATCTTAGTCCTCACGGGTGACAACGCATCTACATTTTGATTTGTAATAGAGGATAGATGTAGATGTCTATGGGCCGCAGCAACCACTTACCATCAGGTGGACTATGTGCTCGTTTGTCACCCTTATCCTATAAAAAAAAGGACGCTATCGGGTAAGAATTTTTAGGTATCCAATGGCAAAAACGCTAAATTCAGGTTAAAATAAAATTTCAAAATACTTGACTACTTGGTAGGACTTTTCTATAAACGGAATCCTATCAACCTGTTTCTGCCGCCAGACAGCAGTCAGCAGTGCGTCTAATGCTGTAGGCTGTCCGGTCAGAAGGGTTCAGGGAGCCAGTATGTTGTGGCGGTATTCCATCTTAGATCTCAAAGGTGACAACGCTGTAGCCTTCTTTGTTTAAAGTTGGCTGCAAGTATCCAAACCTGTTGTACTTACAATACGTACGTACAAACAGTACGTATCGCAGCTATTTGCCACCAAGTGAATTGTAAGCCATTGCCACTTTTGTTTTATAAAAAAAAAAACATACTTAGTATAAGTAGATAACTAATTTCTCGAAAATGTTTCTAACGCGATCAAACTTAAATAGAATTTTACCTTAGAATGTTCAAGGCACTATTTTAAGTGAATATTAAAATATACAACGTCTTTGCAAATAAAATTACTAATTAATACTTTTAATTTTTTTGAAGTCCAAATACTTGCCAATCACAGACGTAAATTAACTTATTTCTATGGTTTTGGATTACCCATGTATTTAGTCTATTCTGTGTCTGTAATCCTAATATATTCTTGAAAAAAACAAGTCTAGGGGACTAAATAAAGAGTTCTGAAGCCAAATTAGTGGTTTTTAGAATTTTTGCCTGTCTGTCTGTCTTTCTGTCTGTCTGTCTGTCTGTCTGTCTGTGTATTCCGGATTCACGCAAAAACTACTGAACCGATTTACATGAAATTTTGTAGGTATGTAGTCAGTAACCGCGGGCAACTTATAGGCTACTTTTTATCCGATTACGGACCTTAAAAAAAAGAAGGTTAAGTATTTTATTTCCTTTAAATGTTAATTTTCTATTATATAATTTTCTTATATATCTTAGTTATATAGGATGACGGATGTTTTCCAAATAAATACCATATTTATAAATAAAGTTTAAAATATAGTTATAACCTTGGTAAAACAATTTGAAACTACACCACTTTAGTTATCAAAACAGCGCCATCTATAATCAAATGGATAAAATAGTATATTTTGCCTTCAGTTACTAATAAGTTAAATAATATAAATAACTTACATTTATATGATTAAATGATTAGATATTTAAAATTATTAAAAAATTCTAACGTTTAGTTTTTTTAGTATTTTTGTTATTTTATTTTAAAAGTGTAATAATTTCAATAGATAATAGTGAGTCTATCAAAAATATGAAAATTGATAAGGTTTATATTTGAATTATTAATATATATGTAAAGTGATTAAAACTGGTGTGTCTGCATTTGTTGCAAAATTTTCATTATCATTTTAGTTTTATTAAAGAGATTTTTATGTATGTCGTGGTCAGATCGTAGAATTGATCATATATCATAAAGTATTCTATCATTTCGTGAAATGGTGTGGACATTTCATGATATTTAACACTCTTTGTTGACCATGTCATGATATAGCTTGACCAAATCAATGAATAGAAATCGTTTGAAGACATTAATAACTAAACACAACGTTGCTATTTCATGATATGGTCATGATATGACGATGTCATTAAATCATTATTCACCGCTAGCGGCGCTGACAGCGTATTCTTTAACAGAAACAGAACTTTTAACAGAATTGACATCACTTTATGCGTTATTGATATTTGATATAATAAATAAATGTTCGCTTCTATCGCCGATATTACGAGATAGTATAGTTTTGCTTTCATTAGTTCATCTAATAATAGCACCATCTAATTACTTCTAAATAAACTAAAATGGCAAGTCGCTGATAAAATGAAATAATACAATGCTACAGAATACACGATGTAAATAATTGAATCATTTACATTACATTCATCCCGCGTTGGAATCAGCGCAGCGAACACTTTTGTGGCCAAAAACTGCGGCCTGTGTCCAGTAGTAACATGTACCTGTATGTAAGCTGCTACTTTTTTACTTGTTATAGAGCAATATATGCAGTTTTTATTACATTTATATTTTCGGGTATGTTACTTTTTTGTTTTCAGTCTACCGTTAATATTAAGGGTTGCAAGAATGAGTAGAACTATAGTCAGCCTATCAAAAGTCCACTGAAATGGACATAGGCCTCCCCCATAAATTGTTAAGTTGCTGAATATTTGCAACTTGACAATTTATGGGGTTGTGGTTGCGGTAGGCGGGTTGGCAACCACAGCTATTATTATTTTGATCTGTTGTCAGGAAGATGATGCTGCCCATCTCCTGTCTGTTTTTCTATGCTGCCTCTTACGATATGATTCTCTTTAGGTGGAATAATTTTAAGGACTTCGCTTTTAATTTTAACTTTTTAATTCCCGATGTTTTGGGCACTTTATAGCACCCATGGTCACGGAAGAACTGAGGTGTTTGACGACCTGATGTCATAGTTATAACAGAATAGAATAGAGTAGAATAAATGCAGTAGTATGCTTGGGTTTGAATTTAATTTTATTAATTATGGGGTCCTTAGCAGATGGTATCACTCAGCCACTTCCTGTATATTAAAATTAGGATATTTTGAATTTCAATAGCATCGCGAATCATCATTGGTTGGAATTGGTGCTCTATTGCAAGGATTTGTTGTCTATCAGATCCGATATAATGGTTGGAACGATACTACACATGTTGATATACTTCAGACTTCCCGGAGCATCGGTGCTTCACATCAACAATATATTCTTTTACTCGGAACTTTCATCCAAGATGCGTAAAAAAACCCGTGACATAGGTTTTAATCCATGTGTAGTATTCATTATTATAGAATATATATTTAGAAAATGTTATATATTTATATATAAAATTTCTATATATTTAGGAAATATATTTTTATATATTTATAAAAAAAATATTTTTATTTTTATAAATTTTGAGGTCTACTCGAAGTAAAAGAAAATATCTACATCTATTTTATGGTGCCAATCAATATTAAATAGGACCAATGATATCAATAAAATATCTCAAATGAACGTTATATTATTTTGTTAAAACTAAATTAACTTTAATTATGAATAAATTAAAAGAGTTAAATGTAAACAATAATAATAAATTTTGATTCCAAGACTATTTACTATTTTCTTATGGATACATCGGAAGATACGCCCGATATAAAAAATAGTAGGTGTTTCTAGACATATATATTCACGTGTTCCTGTAGGATGTTAGCTACCAATCATCTACATCTAATAGTCTTTTAGAATTCAAAAAAAAAAACCTTTGACAGACATAGAGACACAGACACCGAGATGACTCTATATGTGATCGAATTTTCCTAAGTTTGGCACGGGACAACATTTAATGATGTTCCTAAATTCAAGCTCACGCGAGCGAAGCCGCGGGTAAAAGCTAGTTTACAATATATAAGTAACACACTAATTCCTTTTAAACGTGGTATATATAGATGAAGAATGTCAAGAGCTACTCTCAGAAGGTTCTCCAGTTGGCGGGAATCATATCGTTGCAGTGGGATGCTACAGTGAGGTGATACCTGTCATACAATATCTATGTGGAAGACTGGCGGAAACACAACTGTAAGTATTTAGTAATATTATATCATGGTCATCACCATCATCACCATTATCATCATCTTATGTCGCCCCATAGATAGCGCTTATGATACTTATGAGACGAAAATAATGGATGCTCATACGCCGCCATCACATGGCAATAATATTATAAAATGCATACAAAAATAACCCAATTTGTGTAATTTTTTACTTGGCTGTGGAGCCAAAGTGATTCCGGTACGGTACAGGCAAAATCTACATATAATTGTTCCAGGTGCATGTGTAATTTTAATTATGATGTAATACATACATACCTTCTTCTTCTTCAGCAAAAAAAAGAAAATTCAACGTGGTACGAAAACACGTTGACGAAAATTTTACGTGGTAGAGCCATGCTGCAGCTATATTAGTGGTATAGTTGTATCACGAATGGATCGGCTCGACCGCTCACACAGAATACTAGCGTAAAATAGTAGCTTAACGCTGCTGTGTTTCGTATGGTGAGTGTAGAGAACCGGAGACCCTTTTTACTGGAAAAGAGGCATTCCATCTTAGTCCTCACGGGTGACGACGCATCTGCATTTTGTATCGTAATCGAGGATAGATCTGGATGTCTAAAGGCCACAGCAACCACTTACCATCAGGTGGACTGTGAGCTCGTTTGTCACGCTTATCCTATAAAAAAATATATATTCTTCCACTGAAAGACGTGGGCCTCTACCACCGTGGGGAAGATTATTGCCTTAACCGTCATGTTTGGCAAGTGAATTGCTTATCGCAGTACCAGACATTTTGTTGTAACGCTGCCTTCGTCACCAGTCTGGCGTCCTGGCGTAAACGGGGTGGTTATATGTACTGTAATTTTTACTCTCATTAATTCAGTCATTAAAGTTGGTAAAAATTACTTTGCGTACATCCGCTCGGTAAAATAAAATGACGAGTCTTACCAAGTTTGAAGAGCACCTCCCGCCCTCCTTCAATTGCGTGCACTATCCCCGTCACCACTAATCCCAGCACCACTACTCCCAACACCACTACACTAGGAAAGACACACCACTGACGACAATACACATGTTTCGCCTCTACACGAGACGTCTTCAGATGTAGTAGACTCTTGCGGTGGCTGACCGCTGAGTAAGTGGGTGATTCTACTTTATTTCCGCAAAGTAACGCCTGATTCTATTAATCATTTATTCATTCATTATTGCCTATAGAAATTCCACTGCCGAACATATGCCTCACTTATAGATTGCCTCAAAGCGGGGATTTTTGTTATAGTCGTCACGCTTGTAGGCTGGTTGGAAACCTTTTATTTTTACTTTGCGTTGTCAACTTGTTATTTTATTAGTCTGAGTTGTTTAGAGTATGTAACTGCTGGTGGTCTTTTCTCCATACAAACGCTCTCGCCTGTTTTTTCTGCTTTATGAGTTTATGACCTTATAGCAATGAGATTTTACATTAAAATAAATATCAACCTCTTCTGTGTCGCTATGTTCTCCTTTTTCACGTAAATTATCTTTATAAGCACTAGAATCCATACAAAATGCTCAATATTGCCTATTTAGACCGCTGTCAAGAGGCCTAGTGTTCAAATTCGATAACTAATACTGAAAAAAGAAAAACATAGGGACACAGTATATATCCTTCTTATTCAGTTTATGAAATATACTTTAAATTGGTCCAATATAGGAGGAACAAATGGTAGAGAAACAAACCTCGAATTATGCCTTTTTACTTAGGCTAGGCGTTCTAATTCTTGCATGTTTTACCAACTTACTGATGCAAGGCTGCTATTCTAGAAACTTTGTTCCCCTTTGGTTGTCAATTCTTCAAGTTTATAATACTAATAAGTAAAAAAATACCTAATATAAAGTGTATATCAAAAAACGAGTCATAATAAGGAAAGCTTGTTTCTTAATATTTCAGGATTCCGAAACAGAACCCTCTAGCGTTGTTCTTTCTGGACTGCTTGCTAACACTAATGTCTAGTCTTTCTGAGCGCGTATGCGGCAACTCTCATTTCACAACGTTCCTGTGGCAGAAGTTTTGTCCGTCTCTCATCTCCTTTCTTGGAACGCCGAGGGTCGATAAGAACATTAAGGCCAGGTAATATTGCTAATTAATTTTTAAATTATTACACTACATAATATTAAAAAAAAAAACAAACGTGTGTGTACTTATGTACACACGTAAAAAGTTATACTTCTTTAGCGTAACAAAACAAAAATAACCTTGAATATAGTTCTCAGTTCTCACGAAAATTTGACAGTTGAAATATACCAACTGAAGTTGTCACTTTTAGGTTTCGGTGTGCGCGCGCATCGTAACAATAACAACTTCATGGTGTCGGTTTGAGGTGTCGGTGTGCGCGCGCATCTTAAAAAAATCACTCATCATGTTTCTCAAACGCGCCAAAAGAAGTATAACTTCAAAAAATTTTTTCTTAATCTAAATTTCTCTCCTTTTTCATTTTATATCAAGGAAATTATGTAGTCATTTCTTATCAAAATGAAAACCTGAAAATTAAAAATTTAAAACGTATTTCAATTGTCAACTAGGGAACATGAAGGCCATCTGATTGACGATTCTGGCAGGGGATCAGGTGCTTTAGTATGCGCTCCAAGTTTCAATAGCAAGCAAGCAAAAGCTATATATAGGTAAGAGCTGTAACCTGTCCTTTATCCTTATTACTCTTCTTCATACAACATTTTCGAAATATACTATTTTTTTTTATTTAGAAACCACACTAACCATTATTCTGACGTTTATTTTTATGCAGTATAGCAAACCAACTCGTACGTTTGGTGGGATCGATATCGAATCTTCGACCAGTCCTGGAAGCGTTGTACCACAGGATGTTACTGTACCCGCCCGTGTCGCATCGCGTCGAACCTCTACGAAGTGTGAGGGAACTGATACAGCAGCCGAAGAGATTGTGCCAGTTGGTACTGTTGAAGAAAACTGACCAACCGGAGAGGCATAGCGATGATATGGCTATTATAAGATTGTAAGTTGTCAATATTTGAAGTGAAAACTTCTTTAGAATCGTTGTGATTTGAAACACGACTAAACGAAAAGGCGACACTTTAGTGTCGCTGCTTCGTTATTCGCCTATATTAACTTATTCTGAACCTTCTCAGCAAATTTGGGCGTATATTGCAAAATAACCCTGTATAGATTTTACAACAATGTCACGAAACTTGGTTTTATAAATATTACAATTTTATACGAGTATTAATGGTACAATAAAGAACCGTGGTAAATCAGAGTAGGCTATTCTATCTGGAAGCGTCTTGAACATTGATAAAAGTCTTCTGTATTGCGAATGTTTTGTATCTTTACAGAATAATGGACGGAATAGAAGAATGTGGTCGCAGTGGTAATCCAGAAGTAGTTGCAGCTGCAGTGGAATGCGTTGTTTCTCTGCTTGATGCTCTAGAGAAACTTTGTTCTGGGCCCAACGATTATTTGTCATCCGACGTAGCTACGCTTATACTGAAGCACTGGCCAAAGCTTCAAGACGCTGACTATACGGGACCATTAACTTATCAAACTTTAGCTAGGCTACCCAGTCCATACAGGTAACATGTTTTTTATTTATTTATAATACTAATAGTATTGCCATGCTGTTAACATTACTAATATTTGTATATGGTGGTAGTTACGGCAGTAACCGAATGGCGGATACGAACCTACAACTTTTGTGTTCATAATCCGCACCTTATCATTAAACTACTTTTTTTATAGCATAGGGTGACAAACGAGCACACAGTCCACCTGATGATAAGTGGTTGCTGTGACCCATAGACATCTACATCTATCCTCAATAAAGAATCAAAATGCAGATGCGTTGTCACCCGTGAGGACTAAGATGGAATGCCTTTTTTCCAGTAAAAAGGGTCTCTGGTTCTCTACACTCACTATACGAAACATAGCAGTGTTAAGCTGCTATTTTACGTCGGTATTCTGTGAGAGCGTGGTCCTTCCCCGGTTGAGCCGACCCATTCGTGCTACAACTATACTAAACTAATATAGCTGCAGCATGACTCTACCACATGATGTAGAGCCATGCTGCATACTGTCCCTTATTTAATTATAATATACAAGATAAGCTAGAGATATCGAAGTAAATTATTTGTTGGATTATAAAGTAGATAATAATAAAGTAATATATTTTTTTAAGGGACGTAGTGGCTGTGTTGCAAAGCAGTGAAGAAAAGGAGCACGATTCTTCGGGTATAAATTCTTTATATTACTAGCCGTATTATAATTAAGTCCTGAATTCATAAACGTAGAATATTATTTATTCCAGATAAAATACACATAAATCTGAGAGTGATTTACCGACATTTAATATCACAGTATAAGTAAACTATATTAAATTTAATATATTATTCTAGTAGTGTAGTAAAACAAAAATAAGATGTTAAACGATTAAAATCTGAAGTTTACAATTATTTCTATTTAACCATTTTTGAAATATGAGAGTTTTGTTCAAATCTGGTCTTTAATGACACATAGTCTTATTTATTTTTATATCTTTTAAGATAAAACGATTGCTTTTCTGCCTAGCAGTCTGACTGGGTCGATACCATCCTTGTTATCCTTCTACTTATTTCTGTTAGCAACTAGCAATGGCTGAATACGGTCGCACGTAGCGGGCTAAAGCGGGCGTAGTACTTTTAAATAAAACACAGATATCTTGATTATCTTGATTCTTGATTAGGTACATATATTGCTTTCTTCCAAAGTCGTTTACTGTATTTCTTTTTTTTTTTTTGCGCCCGAAGCAATTGGAAAATGGGCTAGCCTTTACGTAAGGAGGCGGAAAATGCATTACGCATACCACGATAGGCTTTCCATCGTGGCTATGGGGGACTCACGCCTAACCGGGGAGCCTAAGAGATACCCCCTAAAAACCGCCTTTGGGGACTGGCAACCAGCTGTTTAAAGCTTCTTATGCCGTATCGTATTTAACAGTGGTAGAGCCACGCGGCAGCTTTTGCTGTCGCACGGATGGGCCGGCTCGAACCGGGGTGGTACCACGACCTCACAGAAAACCAGCGTGAAGTAGAGGTTCACCTCTGCGTTTCGCTTGGTGAGTGCAGGTGGCCGGAGGCCCTTTTTACTGGAAATGAGGCATTCCATCTTGGTCCTCGCGGGTGGCAGCGCATCTGCATTTTGATTTGTAATAGAGGATAGATGTAGATGTTTATGGGCCGCAGCGGCCGCTTACCATCGGGTGGACTGTGTGCTAGTTTGTCACCCTTATCGTATAAAAAAAAAAATCGAAAGCGACCCTCTTTTGGGAAGAGAGGGCGCAGGCGGCTATAAGCCGCTGAGGGAGTGCCTACGAAAGCAATTTAATTATGAATAAAAATTAATTATGAATTTGACTGAGCCGCCAGGAGGCAGTTCAAGTCGTTTGAAAGTTTGTTTGGCGGATCCGAGAGGGAGTTCCTCGGCCTGCGGACGCGATAGCGGGAGGGGAGTGGGGCTGCATAACTAGCTGCCTCACGAATAAGTGTGTTACTATGCGACTCTGAGACTTTGAAGAAGTTTTGAGCGTGCTAGTCGGGTTACTCTTTTGATATGAGGCTCGAAAGTAAGCCTTGTGTCAAGGGTGACACCTAAATATTTAGCAGACGTATGCCAGGGGACTGTGGTCTTTAACATACGTATTGGTGCAATATTTTTATTGATTTTGAAACGGCGTCGTTTCCAATCGAATTGAACTGCGGAGCTCTTATCCGGGTTCACATCGATGCGCCATTTTTGGAACCAAGCTCCTAGGTCATCGACTGACTTTTGGATCTTGTTTCTTACGAAAGGTAGTGTGTGACCTTTAAAGTATAGGGCAGTGTCATCTGCAAATAGGGAGAGCTGTACACCATTCGACGGGATTGGAATGTCGTTGGTGTACAAGATGTAGAGGAGGGGAGCAAGTACTGATCCCTGAGGAACACCAGCTTTGATGGGTCTCTGAGAGGAGAGCGTGCCTTCGTATCTAAAACGAAAGGTACGATATTGTAAGTAAGAGGCCACGAGACGTCCTAAACGATCGGAGAGACCTACTCTATATAGTTTAAATATAAGGCCTTCGTGCCAGACTCGGTCGAAGGCTTTGGCGATATCGAAAAAGACCGCGATGGTTTTATGTCGACGTGGATAAAAACCGCTGAGGATGTATTCCACAATGCGGTGAACTTGTTGGGGGCAGGAGTGTTTCGCTCGGAAACCAAATTGGTGGGGGATGACAATAGGGTCACCGTCTGTGGGAAACAGATAGTGCCTCATTCGATTTTGAATGACTCTTTCAAAGAGCTTGCCCATGGCCATGGCCTTGAGGAGGCTAATGGGACGATGACTGGAGGGGAGGTTAAGAGGCTTGCCTGGCTTGGGAATACCAATGACAGTTGCCTCTTTCCACGTAGTTGGAAAGTAACTAAGATTGAAGCAGGCGTTGAAAATAATAGCTAAGAGGGTTAACACCTGCTCTGGAAAGTATTTAAGGGCTTGGTTGGAGATGCCATCCGTGCCCGGAGCTTTTTTGGGCTTAAGTCCTTTGATGAGGGACGAGATCTCATCATTGGACACAGTAATGGGGTCAGAGGTTGTAGGGGGTGAGTTCCGACGGCGGACCTCATCCTCCACTTCCTGAATATGTGAGGGGTCGACAGGTTGAGAGCTAGGAGAGCATTGTCCGGCAATGCTGTCTGCGAAGCACTCAGCCTTTTCGTCGTCCTCGAAGGCAACCGTACCGTCGGGGCGAGAGAGAGGGGGAGTGTGAGTTGTAGCGTCTATACGGAGGGCTCTAGCCATCTTATAGTACGCTGTATGTGAGGGAGATATATTCTCCATGAGTTCACTCCTTTGGAGGTCTCGAAGTTCGGAGAGGCGGAAACGGAGTTCTCGTTGAAGACGATTCGCCGTGTGCCTATATTCGGGGGTGGGATATTTTGCTGTTCTCCGGAAAGCAGCTTTTTTAGCTTTTAATAGGTTGCTAATATGTAGGGGAAGCCCACTATTATTAACAACCGGAACGACCCTTTCATTCTCCTTAATGGAGGATTTAATAAGTTTCGAGAGTGAATCGACCGCGGTGTCGATTTTTTCAGGACTGTCTAGGTCTATGTCCGACGATAAGTAGTTGGGGGAGACCTGTGAGTCTATAGCTTTAGCTAGAGAATCCTTGAAACCCTTCCAATTAGTAAAAGTTTTCGTGGGTGTTATGGGGGGTGGCTGATGGCCAAGAATAAGGGAGACCGGTCGGTGATCGGATCCTATATCATCTAGTGTCTCGATTGACCTGAGGTTAAGAGAAACTCCTTTGAGTAACGCAAAATCTAGTATATCGGGGCGTAATCGGTGGCATCGTAACACCGAGTGGACTGTGGACTGTAATGTCAAGAGACTGCGTTATTTCAAGCAGTTTCTTGTCACTACGGTTAGTTGCACGGCATGTCCATTCATTATGTTTAGAGTTAAAATCTCCAAACATAATGACTGAATTGCCTAGCGATAAGATAGCCTCAAAATCTTTTTTGAGGGGGTCGATTCCAGGGGGAATGTAACAGGAGGCTATAACTAAAGACTGATGTCCCGTCATAGCTAACCTGCATATCGTAGCTTCCATATTGGTAAGCTGCGGCGTATTAATGTGAGAGCAATGTAATGTCCTCTTGTAATAAATGGCCGTTTCGGCGCCTCGGCGGTCGGGCCTGTCATTACGAAGAAGAGAATAATTACTAATAGAAAGGCCTCTAGTGTCCTTAGATTTGAGGTTAGTTTCCTGTAAGAGGAGAAAATCGGCTGCGCGATCTCGAAGGAAGAGCTTAAGCTCTGGGAGGTTATTTCGCAATCCGCGAATGTTAAAAGAGATAAGCGACAACCCTTTAGGCTTTACACGTCCGTGACTTATAAGCAGAGCAGATGGCTCTGTCATTGTAAAGTTAAGTTAATTAAGTTAACTTAACTTACAACGAACGCAAAAGATTATTATGCTCTACGAGAGCTAAGAGGCGGTCCTGAGGGGACCGAGCAGCGCGCAATTTGATCGCTAACACTGCAATTTCGTTAATGTCGATGTTCCTTATCGCGGCGTAAACCGTGTTAAGGTCATCGACCATTGATGGCTGTTTCGCTTGAGGAGCGGAGGAGGTTACCCGCGGTGGGAAAGCCTTTTTAGGGCCCCAGAGAAATACTGGAGTCTGCGAAGGCTTTGAAAAGCCCGGAGGTGGCCTAATAGGCGCCTGCGGTGGTCTAACGGGTCTAAGGGGTCGTGCGAAGCCTTGCGGCGGCTGAGACAAGCCCTGACGGGGCTTCCTAACATATAACGCCGGGAATGAACGGTCATTGACCGGCGGTGGGACCTGCCTATTTGGGCGAGGACGAGGAGCGCACGGGCATCCTCTATAGCTTGCCGGGTGGCCTGTCTGTTGACACAGGACGCACGCGGGCGGGGATACGGCATCTTTGGGCCGGGGGCGCTCCTTAGTGGTGTGTGGGTCTAGGCACTTAACGCACCTGGGTGGAGTGGAGCAATTGGCCACCGCATGCCCATAAAGCAGGCAGCGGTGGCATTGCGCCGGGAAACTGCGCCTATGCAGTGGCTCAACTTTGACTCCCGACAAGCCGCACACGGTGCGTACTTGTCGGAAGATAGTTTTCGCCTCCGGAACGTTTGTAAGTATGACTAAGACTATCGGATATCTCAACCCGGTTCTGCTGTGCATTTTATGCACAGCCTCAACAGGAAATCCTTGCGACTTAAGGTCTTCAAGGATTTCTTCATTGGAGAGCTCGAATGGGACGCCTCGGATGACGACCCTGACTTTACGCTCTTCCGGAAGAGCGTAAGTGTGGTAAGACACACGTTCGTTTGTAAAGAGCCTCGTAAGGCGGCGGAAATCGTCTATCGACTGCGGAACTATTTTTATGGCCACGCCCATGTTGGTAGCTTGGTCGTATTTAATACCCGAATCATGGCAGATCTTGCTAAGTCGGGTGAACTCTGCTTTGTCTCTTAAGAAGACAGGGGGCAGGCTTGCTTCTTCGCAAGTTGGGGAGCGCAACGTGAAGCCGGCTTCGACGGCGCCGCGATGTCTTACGATATAAGAGGGGTCGGGGCAGCGGCCGGGGCACTTTTTATAACGTACACAACGTACAAGACATCTTATGCAATTAATATATGTCGAACCATATCGCGTGGTAATCTACTGCTATCGACATCTATTGCTTACAAATAAAATTAAAACACCTTATATTGATAACATACGAATCGTGAACAATAGGTGCACTGCTGTGTTCCGATCTGAATGGAGAGAGTCAGTATAACTACACGCTGTGAGGCATTCCATCTTAGTCCTCAGAAATACAACACGTCTGTGTCCTTCTTTGTTTGAAGCTGGTTTTAGATGTCCATGGACAGTAGCCGCTTACCATCGGATGAGCTGTAAGCTCGTTTGTCCCTTCACTTTTACAAAATCATAAAATTATAATAATTTAAAATTAAAAATTTTGTTCAGCCGACTTCAATATAAGTTATTAAGAATAACTCAAAAACTATTGGTCTGGCCTTGATGAAATTCATATGAGACCATACGAGAAGTATCAGCTTTCAAATAAAACAAGAATCATCCAAATCGGTTCACCCAGTAAAAAGTTATGAGGTAACACACATAAAAAAACATACAGTCGAATTGAGCACCGTCTCCTTTTTGAAAGTCGGCAAAAAATGTATTCAAGCGATCTTCTACTCGTATATTTTCTGCTTGTCCATCAATAAAATCCAATTTTGATAAATAAAATGATGTTTATTTTCAAAGTGATTACAATTGATTATTATTAAATGTAATTTAGTTTAAAATTTATTTTTACCACATGAGAAGTACCTACCAGCTTTCAAATAAAAAAAGAATCATCAAAATCGGTTCACCCAGTAAAAAGTTATGTGGTAACACACATAAAAAAACATACAATCGAATTGAGTACTGTCTCCTTTTTGGAAGTCGGCAGAAAATACATTTGTACCTATTTTACAGATTTGGTTTCGGATACAAAAATTTGTTAGTCACTATATTAATTTTACACTATTGTCTTAATTAAACTAATTATTGTCAATAATTAGTTTAATTTAAGTTGTTGTTAAATTTTACGGTGGAATTAACGAATCGATAAGATTATTTTTTTTTAGCTTTTAACATTAACAATAATTTGAAAATTCTAAAAATCTTTGAATGAGAAGCATGTACTTTAATGTTTAGATACTTCGGGACCAGAGAATTTAAGTTCTGGAAGCGACGGTGAAGTAGATTCTGACGCAGACAATGTATTTTTACCGTCTCGAGCCAACGATCCATCACCAAATAAAACCCATAATGATCCATTTAATGAGAAAACTAAGGCCGTGCCGAAAACACTAAACCTCGGAAGGTAAAGTATGACATATAATATTTCAATAAAAAGACAAACGAGTAGACGGTCTAAGAATGTCCAATACCCCATGGGTGTTGTAAGAGGCGACAGAGGGAATCTAAAACAGGAGATGGACAGCTGCTCAAAATAATAAAAGGCAGTGGTGTCCAACCTGCATGCCAAGCGTAGCAACTTTGATAAAATTCACCCTTAACAGTCAATTTGTAGGTGAGACCTGTGTGACCTGTGAAATTTTATAGGCTTTAATGGATGGATGAATAAAAAGACAAAAGTTCGCCTTCTACAACTGTAGAAGAGGCCGGCTTTCTATGCGCTCACTTTATATGAGTTTATATAGTTCGGAATGACAGCTAGGTTACTGCCCCTTTTCATATTATGTTTTTCCGAAAGATTGCGCCCTACTCGTTTGGCATATTTATTATTGACAAGGCGTAGCATGTGGGTTCTGAATGTTTGAGTTCTTTAAAAGATGTACGGTTATATACCCCACTCCCCACATTTGTTTACAATTTCCATTAGTACTGGCAATATACGTAAAATTGTGTATCTTTAAAAAAAAACGTGTGTCCTTTGTATTTACAGATGCACCATAACCGAATGTAATGTGGACCTTGAAAGACACAATGCTAGACAATTTATAAAGACCTTACAGAATTCTCTATTGCCAAAACTGATACATCTAAGGACTTGTATAGAGGTGAGTTGTTAAATTAAGTTAGGCCCCCCGCGCACTAGGCAGCCCTTGGCTGCGCAGCCAGCCTGCGGCGGCCGAAGTATTTAAGCAGCCACTTGACTTGAAACAGCCAATGGACCGCCAGTTGACGATCACTGTATTCTTCTGAAGATATTTCCCATATTGCTTTACGGATTTCAATTTACGAATAAATTTCTCCGTATCGAAAGTCATTTTGTGGTTTTGGAACACAAAATAAGTCTGGCTGCTACGACAAGTGCGCGGTGACTGCGGCAGCCACATACATTCGCCTACTCGCTCTGGCTGCGCGCATTCAACGGACTGCCGTGCAATAATGGCTGCCGCGGCCGGGAATTCGTCTCTGCTTGAGTGCGCGGGCTCCCATACACCGTCGTATGTTCGACTGGCTGCCGCAACCAGGCTACCTAGTGCGCGGGGGGCTTAATATGACACTGCGAAGTGGATTTGGTGGCCCAAAACCATTTTCTTCCCACTTATAAGACTATACACCCCATTAACAGAATGTGTTGGAATTTATAACATCAGGCGGTTGCTATTGCCCCATTTCGTCAACATTTCAGAAATTTAAACAGCAATATATTGATATTTTGTGTATTACAATTTATGTATGTATATTTATTGATGACTGTCTCGTTGGTATAGTGGTCGGAACCGCGACTGCTGATCACATGATCAGCAGTTGCGGTCCCGGTTTCGAATTCCGAGTTGGACCAAAATCGCTTATAGGATTTCTCTGCCGAGAAATATTTTAAAGCAGCCCGCAGTCAGAAAGTCGGCGGTGTTTCACTCCCGTGCCTCAGAAAGTGCGTAAAGTCGTTGGTCTGCACCTGATCTTTCTTCGGTCTTGTCGGATTGCCGTCCTATTGGACTATGAGAATAAGGGAATAGAAAATGCACCTGTGTTAGCGCACACACTTGGGCGTTATAATTCTATCCGACGCTCCATCAAGACTGGCCGCAATGACCGAAATTCGGCCTTGAGGACATTATTTCATGTTGTATTTTGTGAGGTTATCTTTTAGAAAAAAGTTAAAACAATAAAGCACATGATAAGTGCTTTATTGTTTTCTCTTTTTTTTTCCTGATTTTGAAATACATAAAGAAACAAAATATTAAAGTAACAACCAATGATTATATAAATATCTATTTACACTATCCTTCCATTACAGCCTGGCAAAGTACATTGCTGAACGTAGTGCTCCACATAGATTTCAACATAAGGGAGTTATTTGCCATAGTTGCTATGCTTGGCAGACGGGTTGGCATTCGCAATTTGTTTTATTTTCTTGATGTTATCAGGAAGAAGCTGCTGCCCATTACTGGTCTGTTTGCCTCTGTCGCCTCTTATGACTCCCAGGTGACGAAATGGGGTAGTGGATATACCTATACCGTCATAACACGGTTAAATAGCTTTTGTGTACAATTAATTGTCTTACGAGAGAGAATTTCGATCAATTGTCCTGTAGTGTAAAAGGTTCTCTCTAGTTCTCTCCTGTAGTGTAAACGGAAGAGGCTTATGTCCAACTTCTAGGGACTCAGTAAGAAGAAGATACACGATTAATATTAAATTAGTTTTATTCACGAGAGGAACAATTGACACTCCACACTTAAAAAACTAACAAATATTTAGGTTTAATTTCATACTTTAAAGCAATATTGTTGATATTTTTACGTAAGTTTCTAAATCAGAAAGATTTTTGTAAAGTTGATACCGCGGGGAGTAGGACTATATGATATTTACGTTTCTAGTTTTAGTTTTTTTTTAATTATTATAGTTTTTTGCGTAAAAATCATCTGTAAATATATTAAGGTTAATAATAAATAAAATATTATTATTATTCAATGTGTAATATTTGTGTAAATATAAGAAATCATTAAATTTATTGACTTTATAAAACTATCAACAGGTGGACGAAGCGATGCAAGATTTCGCATCAAAATGTTGCCAGCACAACGCGTCGCAACCTCCGGCTACTGCGTGCATAATGAACGCCGACGGAGTCTACCTAGCCACTTACTCTGCACTTCTGCTCACATTGAAGCAAAAACGCACAATGTGTTACAATGTGTCCAACGTAAGACAGCGATTTTCGACTATTTTTAGCAGTTGGTAATTCTAGTCTAGGATATGAATCTAAGATTTGTTTTATTTGCCACGCTTGGCAAGTGGATTTGCAATCGCATCAAATATGTCTCTTTTCCACCAAATATGTCCTTTTGTCGCTTGTCTCCTTCGCCTTATTTTAGGCTTATATAATATTATAGTTCAATATCACCAACATTATCATTACAACACATCACAAATGTTCTGTCTCAAGATAAGTTATACAATCTAAGGATAAGCTTCTCCCTATGTTTGTCATACCATATGTTCCATATGTTTTAAGTTCTTAGTTATCTGCATCCATCGACTAAACAGATCGTCGCTCCATATGGTTTTCAAGTTTATTACGGTAGGTAGTTTTTCGATCTATGTGCTCAGGCTATTGCCACAACAACTTACTAATCCGTGAGACTGTGTCGGTTTCTTTTGGTTTTCGTCTACTACAGATATGTATTTATTATACTAGGTTAATCAAGAAGTTTTCGGAATAGACCACTCATCAATGACTTATAGAAATGTGTTTTATTTTTTTTTCGAATCTTAAATTCGATAGTAGCCAAGGCCAGAAAAAACTAAATTAAAAAATAATATAATTTTTTTAAATTATCTATCTATATTTAAAAAGGCTTTTATCCCACAAGGATATGTCAGCCTTATCGTAACATAACTTGTTCCTGTTACACAGATGCTATTTAGAAAGGGGGAATCAATGTGGTAAGAATATGGAAATGAATGATGTAGTATACTCAATAGTATACTCAAAAACCAACCCAAACTTTTTCCAAACTTCACTTTTGACAGAATTTGATTCGTACGCAAAATGGAAAAACACGAACCTCATGTGGATCTTAAATATTTCTGCCTGATTTTTTTTTCTACAAAAAGTGTTTTTGAAGAATTGTAGTCTACTTATTGCTCTTTCACGATGATAATGCCCCTGCCCATCAATCTGATGCTGCAGGAGCTGCCATCCGAACTGTTGGGTTTCAGTTGATACAGCATCCACTATATTCTACGGACCTAGCTCCGAGTCATTATCACCTTTTTACTCACCTTAAAAAGCACTTGCGTGGTACAAAATTCGACTGCAACGATGAGGTGATGTGTGTTGGTGCCGGCGGGGATCAAACTCGGTTTGTTCGCTTACTATGAAATTTACAGCGATTGCTTGGGCGCTGGACTACCAAGGCTCTTAATATATGACGTTATGACATATATAAAATACCCGACAGGTAGGAATGTCTAATTACATTGTGTATGGGATTGTGCTCGTGTGATCACCAATCCAATAAATATTGTGGTAAAGTATTTCAAAAATTATAATAGCAATTTTTTTTAATTTATTTTATACGTGGTAACGCCATGCTGCAGCTATATTAATAGTATAGTTGTAGCACGAATGGCTAGGCTCGACCGGGGAAGGACCACGCTCTCACAGAATACCAGTGTAAGATAGCAGCTTAACACTGCTGTTTCGTATTTTGAGTGTAGAGAACCGGA